GGATATATAAGATCTATCAAGCTATTTTATAAGATTTTACAAGTTATAAGGTTTTACAAGTTTTTATAAAGGTTTTACAAGTTATAAATACCTTATAAAACTTTATAAGTACATTGTAAAACCTTTTAAAATACATTGTAAAACCTTACAAAACACTTGTAAATACTCCGTAAAACCTTTAAAATACCTTGTAAATTTTTCCCGCAAAAATTTTCCCGCCAAAAAAATTTCGCCAAAAAAATTGCGGAATCATTTTTCCCGCAAAAAAAATTTTTGGCGGGAAAAAATTTTACGGGAAAATTTTACAAGGTATTTTAAAGGTTTTTACAAGTGTTTTGGCGGGAAAATTACGGGATCACTTTTCCCGCCAAAAAATATTTTGTATTTTGTGGACCTAATTTTGTTTCAAATAAGGGTAAAATGGTCATTAAAAATTAAAAGAGGGCAAACTTAAAAATAGACTCTCAAAGGGGGCATTTTTGAAAAGGAGTATTGAAAAAGGGGCATTTTTAACAATTTCTCATAAGAATATGTATCTACATATATGTAGAGAAACAAAAATTAAAAAAGAAAAAAAAAACGAACATTAGCACAATAGTGAACAACACTGATTTGGTCAAGGTCAATGTGTTCAGGGTGACGCCAAAGCATAGGGCCTGGACGTTCGGATATTCGGGTCGGGTTCGGATCGGGTTTTTCGGATTCGGGTTTTCCGGGTTTAGAAAACTAAAACCCGTTCGGGTATTTTAAAACTTCGGGTTTGGGTCGGGTTTGGATCGGGTATTTCGGGTTCGGATTCGGATTTACCCGAAGTATCCAAATATTAGAAATTTTGTATCCGATTCTATGCAAAGTATTGAAAAATACTCAAAAAAATCTATAAAACCCAAGTATTTTAACCCATATCTAACCCAAAGTAGCTAAAACATCCGAAAATATCTTAACATCCGAATAATTTAGGCACTTAGGTTATTACAAGTATAAATATTACTAATATATTATAACTATGTACTTATATTTTGGGTATGTTCGGGTACTTGTTCGGGTTCGAGTTCGGGTCGGGTTCGGGTTCGGGTTTTCGGGTTGTGAAGTTTAGAACCCGTTCGGATATTTTAAAACTTTGGGTTCGGATTCGGATCGGATTTTTCGGGTCGGGTTCGGTTCGGTTCTTCGGGTTCGGGTATTATGCCCAGGCCTAAGCATAGCCATGACGAGGTTGTAGGTCGAAGGGATTGGCTTGTAAATGTCTCTGAAGTACACATTCAAAAAGTCCTAACAAAAATAAACAATAATATTAAATTCGATCGTAAATAAAGAAAACTCAAATCAAATAATGAAAAAATAAAACAAAATCGGACCTGTTCGGCAAAATAAGTTGGAGTAGTGATTTGAACAACACGAAGGAGATCCTCATAAGTGATAAGATTTGGTTCAAAAACCAACATACCAGCATTGAAATATACCGGCGGTGGCGCACGGAGGCTTTCAACAGGCCAAGTCACTTTTTTAGGCGACTGTTGGCAGTAACCGATCTTGTATTGAGGAGTTTTAGACCAAGATACCTCGCAAAAGCAATCTTTCACGGCGTACAAGTAGCCACGAGGAGTATCGAAAAGATGATCAATGTTACTAAACACTTGTATGTCTCCATCTAGATATATCATTTTCTCATACTCCACAAACTGCATTTATATGTTAACAAATCGTTAAATATTTGTGACAATAAATGGTGTGTAATATACTAATATACAGAGACTTCTTAATTATAATATTATTTATATTTTTTTTGTTGAAATATAATTTATATATGTTTTTGCAATGTTAGTTAATAGATCTGCGTGACAATAGGCGTTATCATGCTTTTTACACCCACGTATCACTCAAGGTAAATGGTAATCATATTGACAAAAAAACATACGGTAATTGTTATAAATATACATTTCATTTATAGTTAGTAAGATATTTACCTCCCAAATACGAAGCTTGGAGTAGTTGATAACGTAATAAGCCATGGAATAACCGGTTTCGTTTTCCGGAGGATAAACGGGTTTGATGTCACGGATGATGCATCCTTGAGCCACCAGGATTTGACGGTGTTCCTCAGGCACGTCAGGGAGAGTCGCCACCACGAGAGGATAAGCTGATTTTACCTTACGAAGTCCTTTGGCTAGACCAACCACACCCATCCAGTAGTCTTTGTTTCCGGCGAGGAAAGTGACGTAAGCCCTTTTCACACCGCCGAGGCTCACCACGTCAGTTTCGATCCTCTTCTCGACGGTCATCGTCATTTGGGCCATCTCAAACAAATAGAAATAAGATTAGTTCCTTTAGAAGATAAGAACTTTTTTTTGTTACGATGATAAGTGAATGAAAGATTAGAGAAACTATCTTATTTTATAAGGGAGCGAGAGGGATATTAGGACATAATGTCCCACATCGGAAGTTGGAAGGGATCCTAAGTAATATATAAGGGATATGGGCCACTCCACTCATTGCCAATTGGTTTTGAGTTGGAAGCCCATATTCTTCATGGTATCAGAGCATAATCGATACCCTTCTTTTCTTTTTTTTTTCTCTTGATCACTCATAAACAAATCTCTGTTCCTCTCTCAAGTCTCTGTTCTCTTTTCCCTCTATCTCTTCAAATCTTATTCTCTTTTTCACATCCTAATGGCCAACGCCCACGAAATTGTTAACACAAACGGGTCACTGCTCAATGTCAATATGAGCAACATTACGAAACTCACCGCCATTAACTACATAACTTGGAGTCTCCAAGTCCACTCTCTTCTTGATGGCTATGACCTCGCCGGGTACGTTGATGGATCGTCTCTCCCACCAGATCAAACACTCACTGTCAATGCTCGTGACACACCAAATCCCGCCTACACACTTTGGAGGAGACAGGACAAGCTCGTCTACAGCGGTCTGTTCGGCACCCTATCTCCGTCGGTTCAACCTCTAGTGGCCAAAACCAAATCTGCGGCAGAGATGTGGTCAAAAATTGCAGACATCTACGCCAAGCCAAGCTGGGGTCACATCCAGCAGCTGCGTCTTCAACTCAAGCACCAAACAAAAGGTGAGAAAACAATTGATGACTATATGCAAGGTTTAACAACACGATTTGATCAACTTGCTCTTCTTGGGAAGCCACTGGAGCATGAAGAGCAGATTGAATTTATTTTCCAAGGGTTGCCAAAGGAATACAAATCAGTTGTTGATCAAGTAGAGGGCCGTGACACCCCACCATCCATCACTGAAGTCCATGAAAAACTCATCAACAAAGAAGCCAAGCTGCTTGCTACGTCTCTATCCGCATCGTCCGTGGCACCCATCTCTGCAAATGTTGCTACATCACGCCAAAACCAATATCAAGGCAAGTCCAGTTATCGTCAAAACAAGCCCTGGAATTCCAACAATCAATCCAATTATCAACAACAAAAGCAAGACAATCGAGGAACAAGAGGTTATCAAGGAAAATGTCAGCTTTGCGGCGTCTTCGGACACAGTGCTAAGCGGTGTTCCCAGCTGCAACAACACCACAATGGACCGCAAAACAGCCTGCTACCTACACCGTTTCGTCCTTGGCAGACGCGGGCAAATCTAGCCCTCACCTCTCCACATCCAGCAAATGCGTGGCTCATGGACAGTGGTGCCACACATCACATGACAAGCGATCTCAATAACCTTGCAATGCATCAGCCATACTCTGGTGACGATTCAGTTCTTATTGGTGATGGCTCCGGTCTTTCAATAACGCACACTGGTTCACTATCCTTACCTTCTACTTCCCGCAACTTAACTTTAAACAGTGTTTTATGTGTTCCCAATATCCAAAAAAATCTAATCTCCGTTTACCGGTTGTGTAACGCTAACAAAGTTTCTGTTGAATTCTTTCCTGCACACTTTCAGGTGAAGGATCTCAGCTCGGGGGTCCCGTTAATCCAAGGCAAGACTAAAGACGAGCTTTATGAGTGGCCGGCTTCACCCTCAACCCTTTCTTCTTTCTTTGCTTCAACCTCACCAAAAACAACTTTGACTGATTGGCATTATCGCCTAGGTCATCCATCATTTTCAATTCTCAAAAGTGTTATTTCCAGTTATTCTTTACCTTACATTCAATCAAATTCAGTTTCTTCTTTATGCTCCGATTGTGCTATTAATAAAACACACAAACTACCTTTTTCCCAATCTTCTATTCACTCCACCAGACCCTTAGAATACGTATTCACAGACGTCTGGTCATCTCCTGTGACTTCCATCGATAACTATAAGTACTATCTAGTACTCGTCGACCACTACAGCAGATACACGTGGTTATATCCACTAAAACTCAAGTCCCAAGTTCGTGAAACATTCGTTGCATTCAAGGCACTGGTCGAAAACCGCTTAAACACCAAGATCGAGACATTGTTCTCCGACAATGGAGGCGAGTTCATTGCGCTTCGCTCCTTACTCTCATCTGCTGGAATTTCACATCTTACCTCTCCTCCACACACACCGGAGCATAATGGCATCTCAGAGCGAAAGCATCGTCACGTTGTAGAAACAGGACTCACAATGCTCACACATGCCTCTATGCCCAAACACTACTGGGCATACGCGTTCACGACCGCCACCTATCTCATCAATCGTCTACCAACACCAAACCTCTCCATGGAGTCGCCGTACCAGAAATTATTTGGAGAAACACCGAACTACACAAAGCTCCGTGTATTTGGATGCCTCTGTTTCCCTTGGCTCCGCCCGTATACTTCCAACAGTGAGTGTTTAATATGTATCAGAGCCCGATCCACACATGTCCAACCCGATCCGACCCAAAGATGGTCCAATCATCGACAAGGCCCAAAATTGATGCCGTCGATCTAAGCCCGAACATTCCGAGATTAATGGCCAAAGAGCCATCATCTCGAATGGGCGTATTAGGACATAATGTCCCACATCGGAAGTTGGAAGGGATCCTAAGTAATATATAAGGGATATGGGCCACTCCACTCATTGCCAATTGGTTTTGAGTTGGAAGCCCATATTCTAATAAGGGAGTGGTCCGAGTGGAGGAATTAAATGAGATGCGGAAATCATAATGGATTAAATTAGAGAATATTGGAAATTTTCATTCCTTGATAACGTTTTTAAAGCTGGTGAATGTCTACAAAAAATGAATCGGAGAGAATAGAGAAAAATGAATCTAAAATTGGAATAAATATGGAAATGAGGATAATTCATTTATATATATTTAATGAATAAGCAAGGATAAAGAAAAATGAATCCAAACTTTCAATAAATATGGAAATGGGAATAACTCATCTGGATTTAAATCGGTGCATTAAATCTTTGATGTATATGGCATATATTACCATGTATTGCCTTGCCATATTGAATGATTCGTTATGAATTCTTTGTAGAAAAAAAAAAAAGACAAATATCCATTCATTATCCAACAGGGCCAACGAAATCTTTTCATTTACATAATCTAAGTGCGAAAAAGAGATTATATTAGAGGTCATTAAACTTTTTTACCATGGAGCCGATGCAGTTGCATGAAACTCAAGCTTCATATCATCAAGCTGTTGGACAATCTTTGCTTCACATGACATACTCTGAGCTATCTCTTTGTCCATCTCCTCATTCAGCCTCTGCAGCTCGAGAATCTTGCGTTCGTTTTCAGCCTTTACGCTCTCTTTATCTGCAGTCACTTTCTTGGCACCATTGAGTTCATCCAGTTTCTTTGATTGCATACCTCTAAGAGTCAACAACTTATTGATCCGCAACTGAGCTACTTGTACATTGAACCCGTGTGTCTCTAACTCGGTAAAGGAATTACTAAGGCTTATAAATGAGCTTATGTTCTCGTCGTGTTGCAGAGCTTTGACTTGTTCAAGTAAACATGAAAAGGTAAGCATCATACCAACCGCCAACATTTCACGGGAATCTTCTCTAATCTCCGCCAATGGGCTGAAATGAGGACTTTGTGGGACTGCTTTAAATACCTCCATTGAATCAAGTATCTTCCAAATTGGTAACTTCTTCTCAAAGAGCAAAACTGTTGTAGTATCCTTGACTTTGTTTTCCTCAACACTAGAAACAGAACAAAGGTTTTCTTCTCTTTTCCTCTTTCGATTGCTATTTTCCTGCATAGAAATTAAAAATCCCAAAGGTGAACTATCATTCAATAGATAAATAACAGTCAAGAGGATTGAAATAATAAGCCACCAGCTAACAAACTACAGAGAAAGTGAGAATTATAATGTTGAAGTGAGGAATTAACATTACATTCTCTTGTGTTGAATCGTTTCCTGAACCATTCTGATTCCTTGAAAGTGTCTTCTTGGGGAATGTCTTTCTCTGAGTTTCAGCCTCTATTTGTTTCAACGGTGTTGTAGTTATGCCCGGAGGTGGAGTTACAGGTGGATCAGATTCATTTGCTGGAAAACAGTGGACATTATGAGATCAATTTTCATGATACAGAAAAATGGATTTGGAGAATGTTACCAACTTACCATTCATCACAGAATCACCTGTCTTATCTCCTGATCCCTGAGTTAAGGATGATTCCCTAGTCTGCAACATCTAACACAGATCAGAAACCACAACAGGATGATAATAATAATACAAAGACTTCAAATGCAAACCATCATTACACATGTAAGAAATGCAGCCAAAAGAGCAAGTTTTTTGCTGAAGTTCTAAAGCTGAAATGGCAGTTTCATATTTTCAATGCAAACCAGTCACACAGATTAGTCATTATTGACAATAATCTAGCGTTCACAGAAAGTACTGAAAAGAAACCGTTAAGTACCTTCCAAAGGCCATCTTCCCACACCCTCAAAGGCCTAAGATCCGATTTTTTGAATGTTAATTGCTTCTTTGTAGCCTCTATAAGCAATGTACACCATCTCTGAGAGAGAGATTCCATCACTCCTCCTCGAGTTTCCACAACTCGTCCTTGACGCCATCCTATACCATCATGATACACCTCTATGTAATCCTCCAATTGATACTCTTTAACCCGAATAGGAGGCGGTATAGGCCTAAGACTACGCAAATCAACAGTTTTGTTGGGTCTTGTCCTATAACTCCTGCCAATCAAAGGCCTATCCTTGACAATATATCTATACTCATCATTCTCTTTAAACTCTTTAAAAACCATTGCAGGAACCCAAACCACTTCACCTTCATCTCTCTTAGAGCACAATTCCACCATTGTTCCAGGACTAAACCTAGGCTCCTCAGACAACCGCTTCAAGAACTACCAGTAAAGTTAAAGTCTTTCACAACAAGAGTCCCCAAAACATTAGAAAAAACAAAACTTTCGATAGAAATGGCATGAAAGATAAGCAATTACCTCTGAATTTCGTGTTGATCCTCTGATCCACCATGAAAATATCTTCTCATCGACCCACTGAAGATGAGGCGTCAAATGGTTTCTATCAAACTGAATGATATCAGGTGGTGAATCAAAACACACCCAAAACTTGTCATCATCAATCACTTTGACTACAAAACCAGCCCACCATGCATCTTTATAATCAGCGTCGACGAAAGTGCCTATCTCAATATCGATGCAATCTTGCACATTTTTTGGAGGAATGGGTCGAATCAAGACTTTGTCTCTGAGTTCGTTAAGAGGAGTCGAAACGTCTTCCTTAAGCAACCGAACACAGAGTTCTTTGAATGTAGAATTCTTTGGCGGTTTTGCTTCGATAATGGCTTTGTACCAAACGCTTTCATTGCTATTGTTTTTGTAAGAGATTTCGATTTCACAACCTTCACTCAGAGATAAACTTTCACTCGGAATCTGCCTCTCCATGCTTTGATAAATTACTCACAGACACAGTACAATGAAAAAAAAAAACTAACTTGTTGAAACAAAAAAATCGAACCTTTTTGTAGAGAGTTAGAAACCCTTAAAAAAAATTGAAGAAGACGGCGGGATGTGGGAAGTGGGAAAAGAAAAATGTAAGTATTTTTTTAGTTTTGAGGATTTCTAAAAATATTAACCAAATAATGTTTTTTCTTCTTCTTTATTAACCTTCCTTGAAACATGAATTTGCTCTTGAAAATTTGGGATAGTACTTCTATAATATGAAAAAAAAATTATGATTCAATGCAAACACTTTTAATTTCTATGCTCTGTTTTGGTAACTTGATAGATTTCACCGTATTGAAGATCAATTTGGTTGACCATCAAGAGTCATGCACGGATATATTTAGGTATTCCGGTTAGGGAGGTATCGTCCGTCCCAGTTGGCACAAGCCAGTACTGAATATTCAGCATTGAATTGCCGGAAACATAGAAAGAACATGTGGTTTTGTGAAGTAAAAAGTTTTTAATAAAATTTGTGTTTATAATAATATACTTCTTCGAGACGAATCGGTCTCTCCGAGATGGATCCACGTATTGTGAATAAAAGTTTTTGGTACGTAAGGTAATGAATAATTGACATTGATCATACTAATATTTTAAGATTCTCGCTTATAGTGTGGGAGATTAAAATATATGGATATAATTTATGCAACTTATGATCCCATCTAAGTCTTGCATAAAAGCAGAACATGTACTACAAACTTGAAAAATTTTCTTTTCAAAGAGCTTTGAAGATCCATGGCGATGTCTCATGTCCAGCCCATGCTTCTCCTCCTCGCATCACTCTTCTTCTTACCGGTTTTGCATGGTGCCATCGATTTTGAATATTGCGCCAGTAAGTATCGACTTGTTAAGTTTTCAGTTTCTATATGTTTTTCGTGTGTTTAGTTATATATTTCAATCATAGGCATCGATTTTATAAATTGTGGCTTGCCCATCTCTCTGTTTTTTTTTTTTTTTAGTAAACGAAAATATTTGAATTGTTTGACACTTTGACATATCAATTTGATATATTTTTGTAAGAAAGATATATAGATCCAAGTTTATAGCTTCCACAATTAATCTCTGAGACTGTTGCAGAAAATGGAAACGATTACGGTAACGTTACTCGTATTGAGGTCTCTCCGTCGATTGGCTTTAGCGAAAACCCATACATCACTATAAATTTATTCTGTTCTGCAAGTAAGTAATAATTTTTATGATCTTCCCAAGTTTCAACTCTCTTTTTTTTTTCAACAATTTTTTTTCTTTAGTTTCTAATATTTTCTTGATAAAATCTTTCATATGTACAGGCAAAAACATTTTCCCGGGAACCCTTGTGTACGTGACTTATAGATCTGGGGATTTTATTGGCTTTTTAAGAACTTACAACCTCTGTGATGTGACTGCATGTAACACTGAATCTGTGATTGAAGCTGGCACCAACTTTGAGATAACTCTTCCCGAAGTTCTTTATGTTAAGGTAACTATTTCTATTACTCTTTTCATAGGAAATAAAAAAAGCATGAATGAATGTGAAGTATCCTTATTTTTAGGACCAATGTTTTCAAACGCAAACGGGACCATGTTTAAACATGAACCAGAGGGACATCTACATTGGACTGAAATAACCGTAATTGACTGGCAAAAACCCTAAACCCAATAACCAATGAACCAAAAAAACCGGTTGCATTGGTTATTTATAATTTTTTATATATTTTCAAGACTTGGCTTTATTCTTGATAAGTATAGAAACATTTGATGTATGATACTACTACTTAAAATAAATATAAATAATCAAACCCGGTCTGACTTGATTCACATTTTCATGCACTTCTTCTTTTTAACTTGGCAGGAAATCACGTATTCGGTATCTTTGCGCGAAAGAACCTATCAGGATCCAATAATAAAAATGTGTGTGGACTTCAAAGTACCTGCTTCAGCTCCTGCATTGGTCACTATTTAGTCAATTTGGCAGATGAAAAAGTGTTTCCAAGTCTTTGATTATATGAGTCTCTCTCGCAACTTGCATTTCCTTTTACCTTTTTATGTGTTGTGCTTTGTGCAACAAATAAATTAAACTCTTTGATGTAAATTTTGGCTTGGTTAATATGAACCAGCATGTCTTTCTTTGATCTTCTGGTTGATATCAATCAACAATAAAGTTAAAAAAAAAAAAAAAAAAAAAAAAAAAAAAAAAAAAAAAAAAAAAAAAAAGAGGAAGTTTTACTAGTAGCAGAGAAGCATAATAAAAGCAGAGTAGAACAGAGAAATATGAGGAGCTTTCAAATAATTGGCTCTAGAGATCGCAGGATCGATAACTCTAAACCAACACGTCTTTGCTTTTCCGTATTGAATTCAAGTTGATGAATTATGAAGTTTACTTTGTGTTATATGGCTCTTTTAATATCAAAGCAAGGTTTGGATCTTTTAATATAAAAAAAAACAAATCATAAAAAGGTTAAATATCAAACTAGAACTCTATTTTTGCTGCAAACCAAATACATACTTGCTTAAAAATTGAAGATGAAGTCGGACCAAACCCGATCTTATATTAAATTCGGTTATTAATCTTGAAAACAAAATTTAAAATAACATAGTCGCGCGAGCGAATCTCACTCGCGACGATTTCTCTCCCAAAAGAGAGGAGCCTCGGCGGCTCCGATCGATATCTCCTGGAGGTTCACCCAGTGATTCCGGCGCTGCATGCCTGCATGGTGTCTCTATTTTTCTTATTGTTGTTGTTTCAATTGCGTTTAGCTTTGTTGATTTAAACTTTGAGTTTGCCAAACTCTTCCTATGTATAACCATTTGTTCTAGAAATGGAAACAAAGTTTTTTGTCACAAGTTACCGTCATTGGCTTCCCGCTTCTAAGCCGTGTAAATTAAACATCCGACCATCCTTGTCGTTGTGTTATTTCATATAGAACTTCTCGTGCTGGCGGAAACCAAGGCTTTGGAATCGTCTTCAACGTCACCATATCTTTTGACTGTGACTATCCTCTCATCTTCCGTGGATGACCCTCGACTAACCATGAAATTGCTTGCATCAAGATCCTACCTAGTTTTTGTCTTCAAACTCTCATGGATCTACTGTCGTCGACCTATCATATATTATTTTTGTGGCATTGAAATGCCTTTCTTTGTTTTGTACTATACTTTAGGATCTTTGTATCCATCTTATCTTTGTACCTTGGTTTAATTTGAAGGAATGAAATCAAGTATTTGCACAAGAAAAATATAATTAACCTAGAAACATAATTAACCTGGAAAAAATATATTTACCTTGAATTTTTTTATTTGTAGTGTTAATCAACATAGGTTATAATATATTAATAAAGTTCCTTTAAACAATAATTAAAAATGGAAAATAGACTAATATAGAAACATTTATTTTCTTGGAAACCGTAAAATAAAAAGTAATAATCATTTAACTAAAAAAAATCAGTAGAAAACATGGGGCACCGTACCATGAAGGCATAAAGCCATGAATCAATTGTGGGCACCATGATAGCATAAAGCCATGAACCAAATTGTTCCATCTCCACTACAAATTACATAACAAACTTCAAAATTTAAGCTAGAGCACGTATTCTCCTACTCATACATCTACGTTCGGCTCTGACCTTAACCACCGTCATATCTCCGCCAATACCACCACCACCACAACTGCCGTCCCCATCACAACATTTATATTTAGAAATTTGAAAAAAAACGTTAGTGTTGAATTTTTTGAAACTAACTTTTCTATAGGTAAATAGTGAATAAGAGACTTATGTGCCTTCAAAGTTGTCACTTTAAAAAAAAAAAAAAAAAAAAAAAAAAAAAAAAAAAAAAAAAAAAAAAAAATTGTCACTTTAAAATTTCTCTCATTGACAGGAATTTATGGCCATGTATAAGAAATGTGAACGTGGATGATCGATAACGATCAAATAATACTTCTTTTGTTTATTTGACAGGAAATTAAATCTATACTTTTTGTTTGTTTTTTTTAACGGCAAAAAAATTGTTTTTGTCTTTGATTTTGTTCATGGTTTGAATGATAATTTGATTTAAATAAAAAATAAATTTAACGAACAAATTATTCTATCAATTATATACAAACATATTAAACAAATATAAAAAAGCAAAACAGAATTATGTTTGCCATTTTCTTCAGACGACAATGTTACTCTTCTTTTGTATCATCAAATACTTGTCGTCTTCTTGAGCAAAAATTTATCGCTCTTTCTTAAAGGCAAAGTTAAAGCAAGACCTATGACACTATGAGGTCTAGTGCCCCCAACCTTTTTTTTCCTTTGAATAATTAGTGTTAGTTCATTTGTTCAAAAAAAAAAAAAATAGTGTTAGTTCATATATATGCTGGTCTATGTACACTTATAATTAATGTTATTGATCAACTCCAACAGGATTTGACAAGGCCAGGTCTACCATACATTAGTTCAAACTTTTAGCTTTTTCTTTTACCCAACTTTTTAAAAGTTAATACATATGAATATAGATGCATTTTTCTGTAAAATAAACAAGAGAAGTATGCTTTGATTGTTATCGATCGCCCACGTTCACATTTCTTATACATGGCCAACAATGCATATACTTGAATTGAACAACTCTGAAGACCATATCATGTCGATGAGAGAAAATTTAAACTAAGATCTCAAGGAAAGAAAGCACTAAATAGTAGAACCCAGCTCGTTGAACAAAAAAATAAAATAAAATAGAACCAAGCTCTAAATAGAGACATAGAGTTTGGCTTTGGAATTTTATGGTTCAAAAAAAAAAAATTTAGAAGCTAAGAAAATGTTCTATGAAAAAAAACATGGACGGATCTTCTTATTTTTTTAGGTTAGAGCATATGAATATACAAAAATATATGGGCTAGAGGCATTTAATATTTCGTGGGATTATATTGCCGGAAAATGCTTAATGTGTAAGTTATTCTAAGATGGGATTACCAATTTCACATTACCAATCAAAGAAAATTTTCCTCCTTAAAAAATGTACATCATAATGTTAAAAAAATATTAAGTTAATGTTGATGGACAAAATTAAAAGTAGTGAGATAAGCACATTAATTCTTTACGCATTTTAGCAAAAAAATGGACCACCCAACTGTTCAATTTCAACCATTCCAATCCATGTCTAATGGTAGATGTGACCATCGGCTAAAATATCTTATGTTATTCACATGAACACGAATTATATAAATTAGTACACGTCAATTACAATAGTAGTAGTAGACAACCATCTGTCTTCCAATTCACTTAGACAAGGTTTCTTTCCTCGATAAGATAAAATGAATTCACATCGTGTTCTCGCATAACTAGATACCAACATACACAAACCAAAAATCTTCATCTTCCTCCACAAAAAAAAAATGGACATTAAAGAAAATGACGAGTCTCGAGTTATAACACCAACCGAACTTCAACCTCATGATTCAGTTTCTGCAAGAACAGGTAAATCCTTCAGTAATCATATAATCATAATCATTAGTAATTAATCATTTAGTGGTAAATAATTAAGTTGTGTTTTCTTGAATAATAAAGGAACGTTATGGACGGCGGTGACACATATAATAACAGGAGTGATAGGAGCTGGAGTGTTGTCGTTGGCTTGGGCCACGGCGAAGCTCGGCTGGATCGCTGGTCCAGCCGCTCTTATAGCCTTCGCCGGAGTTACACTTCTCTCTGCTTTTCTTCTTTCGGATTGCTACCGTTTCCCTGATCCTGACAACGGTCCCCTCCGACTTAATTCTTACTCTCAAGCCGTTAAATTGTATTTAGGTCAACTTCAAAACTCATATTTTAGTTCATTCCAATGGAAAATGACTAATTACTAATACTTTTGTTTTAGTAATAATTTAATTTATTTAGATGGGTAATTTGATTTGCAGGGAAGAAGAATGAGATCGTATGTGGGGTCGTTGTATACATTTCCCTATTTGGTTGTGGTATTGCTTATACCATAGTTACAGCGACATGCATTAGGTAAATAATATGTGTAAAAATATTTAGACCGTTGTTTTATTCTTAGGAATTTTGAATTTGCAATATATTGATATGTAGAGTTTTTTCCATTTCATTACAGAGCAATTATGAAATCGAATTGTTATCATAGAGAAGGACACAATGCAACATGTTCTTTTGGAGACAACAACAACTACTTCATGCTTTTGTTTGGTTTGACTCAGATCTTTATGTCACAAATACCTAATTTCCACAACATGCTATGGCTCTCTCTTGTTGCCGCGATTATGTCTTTTACTTACTCATTCATTGGCATGGGCCTCGCCCTTGGCAAAATCATAGGTATATATAGATAAATCATCTCACATAATTAGAATTATATTCTTTGTTGCTTTTGATATTGGGTCAAGTTCACTTATTATCAATTGATTTTGAGATCAAAGACCAATAAATATTTTTGTTTTTGAAATGAAGAAAAACGAAAAATTGAGGGAAGTGTAAGGGGAAGTCCAGCAGAAAACAGAGGTGCAAAAGTATGGTTAGCGTTCCAAGCTCTTGGGAACATTGCCTTTTCATATCCTTTCTCAATCATACTTCTTGAGATTCAGGTAAATAATTTACATTCATGCATAATGACGCTAAGTAATATTAATTAACACATTAATTACTCTCAACTCGTAAGAGATCAAGAAACCTTTTTTTACGTGGATTGAATGAAAATTAAGGACAGGACACATTGAGATCACCACCAGCAGAGAAGGAAACGATGAAGAAAGCCTCGACGGTTGCGGTATTCATCCAAACGTTCTTCTTCTTCTGTTGCGGATGTTTTGGGTACGCAGCCTTTGGGGATTTAACCCCGGGGAATCTCTTGACCGGTTCCGGCTTCTATGAGCCATTCTGGCTCGTCGATTTCGCCAACGCTTGCATTGTTCTTCATCTAGTTGGTGGATATCAGGTATCTTAAAAAACCCCTTGCCCATCTAAGTTCTAACCAACATGCTCGTTGATGTCTATGTTTTCGTTTACATGTGTATTCACATTTTAGAAACCAAACTACTATTCTAGTATTATAGACAAAACATTTTTGGTTAATATATGTGATTTTAACGTTTGCGTTTACAATTCACAAAAAAAAAATTGTTTAAAATACCAAAATCGGTTTGAGTTGATATATAACATGTTCAAAAGCAAACAAACAATCGAGAGTCAAATTCTTCCATACATTTCTAACATATAGAATGGCATTTTAGGTATACAGTCAACCGATCTTCGCGGCTGTGGAGAGATGGTTAACCATGAAATACCCACAAAACAAGTTCATTGCCAGCTTCTACGGATTCAAACTGCCATTGTTACGAGGAGGAACGTTGAGACTGAATCCAATGAGGATGTGTCTAAGAACGATGTATGTGTTGATCACAACGGGAGTGGCAGTGATGTTTCCCTACTTTAATGAAGTCTTAGGAGTATTGGGGGCAATTGGATTTTGGCCTTTGGCAGTGTATTTTCCTGTGGAGATGTGTATATTGCAGAAGAAGATCCCAAGTTGGACGCGACCATGGCTTCTTCTTAGAGGTTTTAGCTTTGTTTGCTTGCTTGTCTGTCTATTGTCTCTTGTAGGATCTATTTATGGACTTGTAGGAGCAAAATTCGGATGATTAGCCAATTATTGACTGTGTGATGAAGCTTCCTACTCTAGTTGGTAAATAAATGTTAAGAGTAGATAAACAAAATCTACAGCTTAAGAAAATGTTTCTGTAAATGATAAAGAAGGGTTCCTAAACACAAATTGTGGTAATGTAAAAAATTTATGATTTGGTTGTAATCTTAGTAAATAAAACATAAAAATGGTATTCTTATTTCTAAAATCTGGTACTTTAAATTTTTCCTTGAAACATGATTTTGCTCTTATTGAAAATTTGGGATAGTACTTCTATAATATGAAAAAAAAAATATGATTCAATGAACACACTTTTATCCTTTGCTCTGTTTTGGTAAGTTGATAGATTTCACCGTATTAAAGATCAATTTGGTTGACCATCAAGAGTCATATATGCACATATACATTTAGGTATTCCAGTTAGGGAGGCATCGTGCGTCCCAGTTGGCACAAGCCAGTATCGGAATATTCAGCATTGAATTGCCAGAAGCATAGTGCGGTGATATACGATTTTGGAGCGGTCGGGGATGGAAAAACGTCAAACACAAAGCCTTTAGAGAAGCGATCAGCAAGCTTAGACCGATGACGGATGACGGAGGAGTCCAGTTCCTATCGATTCTCCTAACACCGACGTAATCGATCCCGGTACGTTCACAGTTATCTTAGCTAGCTTTTTCCAATTATATAAACGTAATGACCATATAGATTCTTATTGGTAATTAACCAGTTGGATGATTATGCGATTTTGTATGATTTTACCAATCATATATTTCTATAAACACAATTTATATTTTGCAATTCCCCAACCTTGGTGACTAAAGCTAAATGAATGCTATCATTCTGCATGGTTTTATCACTTAATCATTTTTTTTTCCATTTTTGGTGATGAAATATCACATTTCTTAGCTTGCGAAACTAATCATTAAATACAGTGCAAGGTATAAAGAACCGGCCCACAAAGAAATTTAATTTCAGGTGTGCTAACATTAGCTAACTGGTTATGCACTTACGCTACCACTTTTTCTTGCTAAGACACAACATCAAGAATCAAGACATCTCCTTGAGATAGGCCGACTTTGATAAGCCGTTAAAATGTTAACTATACGTTCTTTTCAAATTTGCAGATTTTAATTCATATAAAAACTGCCTATGTACTTTTGAGCTAACTTTCTATTAAGCATCAAATTGTGAATTTAGAATAGAAGCATATGAAACAGAAACACAATGTGACGTCAAAATCCACAGAAGAATATGAAATACATAGATAGGATATCCAAGTCTATTAGTTGAATCGAAGAAGATGAGATCAAGAAAAGTAATCTCGTTTATTCAACTTAATTGTGTGTTACAACGGGATCTTCCTCTTATATTGTTTGTTACAACGGACATATTGCTATATGACGCATCAAGGCCCCAAAATTGTTTTCTACGGTAAGAGCATGATTATTGGTAGTATCTTAGAAATATCTCTTAGCAATATTTAAGTAATATATGTGTAAAAGTGATTGTTAAGAGATAGTATTTTTGAGTTAAGATTTTTGTGTGATTAATGGTAGGCTCTTAACATGTAGTTCTTAGAAAAAAAATTAACATAAAAATAAAATTTATAATTATAAAAAATTTAATAATAGTTGCAAATTAAAAAAAAATAAAACATACATGAGATACAATTTATAACATAAATAACAGAAAGCATAAATGTTTTATACTTGAAATCTAAAAATAATCGGGATATGTAAAATTAGGTGGGGAGTAATCGGATTAGGCGAGAAGTAATCGGATTAGACGGAGAGTAATCGGGTAACTGATTTCTTTAGAACAGAGCTCTTAGCTAAGGAACGTTTCTTAACATTAAAGCATAAAGTTGATTAAATTATATTGCATTAAATGTTAAGAAAAGCTTAAGATTTCTATAAGAACTTGCCTTTAATCATGCTTTAAGATAGTCAATTCGTGTTGTCGTTATAGAAAGAACATGTAGTCCTGTCAAAACAAAAAGTTTTAAATAAAATTTAATGTGTTTAAAATAATATAGTTCTTCGAGACGGATCGGTCTCTCCGAGATGAATCCACGTGATTATGAATGAAAAAATTTGGTAGGTAAGGTAATAAATTATTAACATTTATACTAATATTTTAAGCTTCTCGTGCATAATAACGTGGGAGTTTAATATATATGAATATAACTTATGCAGGTCCGGACCGGTCCCAGAGCATCATGTCACTTATGATCCCATCCACTTATCTTATAGATTATAAAATAGAAGGCTTGCATAGAAGAAGCATAACATGTACTACAATCTACAAACTTGAATAAAAAAAAAATTTCAAGGAGCTTTGAAGATCCATGGCGATGTCTCATGTCCAGCCCATGCTTCTCATCCTCGCATCACTCTTCTTCTTACCAACTTTGCTTAACGCCATCGATTTCGAATACTGCGCCAGTAAGTATTGATTTGTTAAGTTTTCAGTTTTCTGTTTGTTTAATTATATACAAGACATATTCTTATAAGGTTATAAATCAATTCAGTCATTCATATAGACCTCGATTTCATAGATTGTGGCTTGCTAATGTCTCTGTTTTTTTTTTAACAAACATATATTTGAACTGTTTGACATATAAATTGGATTTACTTGTGTGAGAAAGATATATAGATCCAAGTTTTTTTTTACCAACAGGGGACTTGTAAGTTATAACTTCCACAATTAATATATGCGACTTGTGCAGAAAATGGAAACGATTACGGTACCGTCACTCGCATTGAGGTCTCTCCGTCTGTTGGGTCTCACGGAAACCCAACCATCAATATAAATTTATTCGGTTCCGCAAGTACGTAATAATTTTTATATTCTTCCCAAGTTTCAACTCTATTTATTTTCTTTAGTTTCTAATATTTTCTTGATAAAATCTTTCATGTATACAGGCAAAAACATCTCCCCTGGAACCCTTGTGTACGTAGCCTTTAGATCTGGGGATTTTACTGGCCTTTTAAAAACTTACAATCTTTGTGATGTGAGTACATGTAACACTGAATCTGAGATTGAAGCTGGCACCAACTTTGAGTTAACTCTTTCCGACGTTCTTTATGTTGGTTTTGATGAGGTAACTATATTTAAACTCTTTGCATATAGAAAACAAAAGCATGAATGAATGTGAAATTTCCTTAATTTTAGGACCAATAATGTTTTCAAACCCAAACGGGACCATGTTTAAACATGAATAACCGTAATTGACCGGAAAAAAAAACCTAAAACCAATTACGGATAATCGTTGAACCAACAAAACCGGTTGACATTGGTATATTTATTTCTATATTTTTCAAGACTTGGCTTTATTCTTGTACATACAGTAAAACCTCTATAAATTAATACTCTATAAAATAATAATCTCTCTAAATTAATAAATTCTTTCGGTCCCGAGTTGGGACCAGTGTAAAATATGACATAAATCGATAAATTAATAAGATAATAATTTTTTTAAAAATCTCATATAAACATATGGTCCCATCTATCATAAATTAATAATTGTATAAACTTATCAATATATATATAATTAACTTAATATATATATGATATAAATTTATATATGTCCTATATGAATTACTATGATATATATTTAAAATATTATATGTAAAAAATTTAATGAATATGATTAGATTATTCGAAAAAAGTTTGTGTTGTTTTTTAAACTTAATAATTGCTTCTCTACTTGAAATTATTTTTTAAAAGATATTGCTTATAAAGATATTACGGTTGTGAAATTTTTTAGGAAATTACAAAATTAGTAAAGTCTCTCTATAAATTAATAATTTATCGATAAATTAATACCTCTCTAAATTAATAAAATTTTATGGTCCCAACATTATTAATTTATAGAGGTTTTACGGTATATCACATCTTCTATTTATATTTTAAAATATTTATACTTCGTTTTTCCCTAGTGTCATATCCTATACTATTATTTGGAGAGTACATTTTATAAGATATCCTTAACTAACCTTTATATTTGTAAGAATTTACTTAAAAATGCCATTAGAGATAAAATTTCAAAGAGTAAATTAATTCATCCCATTAAGGATAAACAAGTCAATTTATATAATTTAATTTAATTATAAAAACGAAAAATACATTATTATTATTATTTTTAAATGACCAATCAAAATGAATCTATAAGATTTGATATCTAACTTACCTTATTAATTTGTTATTAATCATTATATTTGACCTCTCATCTTTATATGATTCTATTATTGTGAAACAAATAAATCATTATATCATTCATATAATAATAAAAATAGATTTTTTTCCGCATATGCCATGATTTGAATTTTTAAAAAACGAATATAAATTATTCAATTTATGAAAAAAAACTTTAACGAGTTAAAAATTTAGACTTGGATAATATATTTCTTTTAAACAAAAATAAATTCAACAAAAATTCCGCCTGAATAACGGGTCAGAATTTTAGTAATTATATTCAATTTCATATATTTTTTAAAAATATATAGTTTTATATACTACGATAAAAATTTTAAATATTTTAATTTGGAATATTTAAAAATAGTTTTACTTGATATTTAAAAACAAATATCATCAATACTTAATAAATAAAAAAAAATTAAAAATTATACATACACTAATTTGGTTTTCTTTAAACAAATATATTTAAAAAATATTTATATTAGACGGTGGGTTAAATATAACGTATTATATGATGGAATGAGTTATGATACTTATAATTGAATATTTATATTTAAGTTCATACAATTATTTTTAAAAAATTCTTAATTTTATATTCTACAATAAAAAATAAAACAATATTTTATTTGGAAAATTTTAAAAATAGTTTTATATAATATTTTAAAGAATATTATAAATATTTAATAAATCAAAAGATAAAAGTTATAAATACTCTAATTTCATTTTTCAAAGCATAAATATTTAAAATATTTATAGCAAGCAGCAGGTTAAATGTAATGTATTATATGATAAAAAAAAGTTATGATCTTTATAACCGAAACCATAGTAAGATTATATGATGAGATGAGTTAAATAAGGTTTGACACCTCTAAATATTTAAAATTTTGATTCTATAAGTATATATGAAAATAATGAATGATGGATTGTGCACAAAATTTTTTCATTGGGATTCTAAAATAAAAATATAGGTACGCACATGTTGAATTTAATCTTATTATATACCAAAATATGTTTATTATATACGCAATTTTTTTTCACTTACTACTAGCATATATCAAATACATACGTTTTATTTTTAACCAAAAAAACGTAAAAAACCGTAAAAATTGAACTGTAACTAAACCGAATTACATACGATTTCTATTTGGTTTCACTTTCTACAAAACAAAAAAAAAACGATACTAAACCGAAATACCGTACCCCACCCCTAATATTTTCTCATCAAACAAAATAAAATAAAATAAAATTTCTTATATGTCATTGTATTTTGTAAAGAATTATTAAAATTGTACTATAAAACAAACAATAATCCAACTTTATATATATATATTTAAAAATTAAATTCATCCGTGCTGTTCCAGCACGGGTTATGATCTAGTTTTAAAATTTATACTTCTTATTTTTAACTTGGCAGGAAATCAAGTATTCGGTATCTTTGCGCCAAAAGACCTTAGAGGAGGAGGATCCAATAATAAAAATGTGTGTCGACTTCAAAGTACCTGCCCCAGCTCTTGCATTGGTCTCTATGTATTCAAGTTGGCAGATGAAAAAATGGTTCCAAGTCTTTGATTATATGAGTCTCTCTAGCAACTTGCATTTCCTTTTCCCTTTATATGTGATGTGTTGCCCAACAAATAAATTAAAATCTTGGCTTGGTTAGTATGAATCAGCATGTCTTTTCTTTGATTTACTATTAATCAAAAATAAAGTTTAACCCAACACGTCTTTGCTTTCCCGTATTGAATGCAAGCTTATCCATAATGAAATTTAGTAATTTACTTTGTGTTATATGCCTATTTTGATCCATTTCAAAGTAAGGTTTTGCTCTTTTAATATCTAAAAAACAAATATATACTTGCTTAAAAATTGAAGTTGTACCAAAATAAGATTTAAAACTCCAATATCATAAAATCCTTATATATGCTTACAAAAAAAAAAAAAAAAATCCTTATATAGAAGTTTAATATGGGCTAGTTCCATACTTTGGGCTAGACCCAACAAACACTAAGGCCTTGACTAGGCATGTACTCTTTTATTTCTCCCGCATGTTATTCGAAAGCCTTTATTAAAACTAACAATATAAATCAATGTTGATGAACTTTCATGAAGTTTTTTGCTTTCTAATTTTTCTCGTTTCCCAAACCTAGAAGGTTTATTGTTTCTTTTGTGAATCTTTTGAAATTAAAACCCTCAAGTGTTGGGGACACTACAAAAAGTTGAGACTCTTTTAATTGTTCACATTCCTTAATTCACAAGATTCTCTGTCTCCCACTTCCCTCTTTATTTTTCTTTCTTTTTTTGTTCTCTCTCATAAACTCTTTCGAATCACTTTTTCTGGCTTCTCCATCAGGAAGATTCCGATGAGAAACTCGCCGTCCAAAAACGGGTCGGCGGGAGGGCATTCTCGTACTTTCACCGACAGTATATGGTCTCCCTTTTTCAAGTCCGGTTTCGGAATATCTTCCAACAGATCCTACGCCCTAATCTCCCTCCTCATCCTCCTCATAGCCGGCGCGTTTATCTCCACGCGCCTCCTCCTCGATACCACCACCGTAAGTCCCTCAAAAACGACACACTACACTTGTCGTTTTAGCTGAATCTACTTCTTCGGTGTTTTGTGTCTTTATGGGTTTGAGTTTTGTGCCTTTTGTCACGTGAGGGAAGAATTTTCTATTATTGATCGGAAGAGTCTTTTGGTGGTTGGTGTTGTCGGCGAATCACGTAGAACACGACACGTGTGTTCTTGTGGGACCCCAGTACATGACTTTTCCAGTTCAATTAGCTGTCTCCCATGAGAAGAATTTCGGGTTTTAGGGGTTTTAGGAAAAGAAAATCCAAATTAAAGAATTCGGTTCGATTGGATTCATATATGTTTGGTTTAAGTTATATATTTTCTTTCGGTTTGAATCGGTTTAGTTTAAGTGAATTACGGTTTGGGTCGGTTTATTGCACAAATCTGCTCACTAGTCATATCGTTTTCACGGTCTAGGTTCTGATAGAGAAAGAAGCCGTGACGACGACGACTCAAACTCAAACTCAGACGATATCCCCAAAATACCCTCGACCAACCACGGTAATTACTCAAAGCCCTAAACCGGAGTTCACACTACACTGCTCCGCCAACGAAACCACCGCGTCATGTCCGAGTAACAAATACCCGACGACGGCGAGCTTCGGAGAAGATGACGATACAAACCATCCTCCGAACGCCACGTGTCCTGATTACTTCCGTTGGATCCACGAGGATCTCCGTCCATGGTCGAGTACGGGAATCACAAGGGAAGCATTGGAGCGAGCCAAAAAGACGGCGAATTTCCGGCTAGCGATCATCGACGGGAAAATTTACGTCGAGAAGTTTCAAGATGCGTTTCAGACGAGAGACGTGTTCACCATTTGGGGATTCTTACAGCTTTTAAGGAAGTACCCTGGGAAGATTCCAGATCTCGAGCTTATGTTTGACTGCGTTGACTGGCCGGTCGTTAAAGCTTCAGAATTTACCGGAGCTAATGCGCCGTCGCCTCCGCCGCTGTTTCGGTACTGCGGGAATGAGGAGACGCTTGATATCGTGTTTCCTGATTGGTCCTTCTGGGGATGGTAATAAACAAAGCACCCGTGATTTTTCAAGTTTTCTCAATTACACCCCAATAGTTTTGAATTGATCAGTTAAACCCAAGATTTGTGTTAATTTGTTGTAGGGCGGAGGTGAATATAAAGCCATGGGAGAGTTTGTTGAAGGAACTAAGAGAAGGGAATCAGAGGACTAAATGGATAAACAGAGAGCCTTATGCTTATTGGAAAGGTAATCCAATGGTCGCAGAGACACGACAAGATCTTATGAAATGTAATGTCTCTGAGGAACACGAGTGGAACGCTCGTTTATATGTTCAGGTAATAATGAACAATTTACGTTTTTGAGGGCCAAAATCATTGAAGAAAGCAACAGCTTTTTAACTTTTTAGTGTATTCTTGTAGGATTGGATCAAAGAATCAAATGAAGGCTACAAGCAATCAGATTTGGCAAGCCAATGCCATCACAGGTAATGTAATTTTTTTCTAGACATCTAATTAGATTTGGGTTATGCAAAGTTAAAATATGAAAGTCTAATAAAGGGTATGGGATTATGCAATGTTAATGAGCAGGTACAAGATATATATAGAAGGGTCTGCATGGTCAGTGAGCGAGAAGTACATTTTGGCGTGTGACTCTGTGACTCTGTTGGTGAAACCTCATTACTATGATTTCTTTACCCGAGGCTTGCTTCCGGCTCACCATTATTGGCCCGTTAGGGAGCACGATAAGTGCCGCTCCATCAAGTTCGCTGTTGATTGGGGAAACTCTCACATTCAAAAGGTACATTATTAGTCTATGATGAAAATCCACACCATTATAGGACTTGGTCTTCAATAGGTACATTGTTAATCTATGATGAAACGCAAATAACGACGCTTGAAACAAATGATCCTCTGTTGTCTAACCAGGCGCAGGATATTGGAAAGGCGGCTAGCGATTTCATCCAACACGAACTTAAGATGGACTATGTGTATGATTACATGTACCATCTCTTAACCGAATACTCAAAACTCCTCCGGTTTAAACCTGAGATTCCTCAGAATGCCGCGGAGATATGCTCGGAAACAATGGCGTGTCCGAGAAGCGGGAACGAGCGCAAGTTCATGACAGAATCATTTGTAAAGCACCCTGCAGAGTCTGGTCCCTGTGCCATGCCGCCTCCGTATGATCCGGCATTGCTTTATGGGGTTGTGAAGAGGAAACAGAGTACTAATATGAGAATCCTACAGTGGGAGATGAAGTACTGGAGCAAGCAGAATCAAACCGGCTCTTGAATTCTTTCATCTTCATTTCGGTTTTGGTTGTGTAGAGAAAATAAAATATATATACGTATAACCAATGTTGTTGTAGATTACTAGATTTATGTTTCAAGTTTAGGTTATTTCACACGAAACTCAAAATGAAAAAATCTCATATATTGTTCATTTTGTGAGCTGATGTCGTTTCTATGTATATAGAGACTAATAATAAAATATTTGGGTAATTAAATCGGTTTAACCAGTTCACTTGGTATCTAATTCTTGTGTTTGTATAATCTAATGCTTCGAATTTGCGACTTAAAACTCATTCTCTAGATATTTTCATGATAAGTCTTCTTTTTGTTTTAACAAGAGTCTATTATATGTCAAATGTCAAAAGAATAATGAGCTAAATACCTAAATCACCAGCATACAAAGATAATTTGAAATTAGTTTAAATTTGGTAACAGATAACGATCACCTTAGGAAAATATTAAGCTCAAGAGTTGTTAAGACTTAAGATTACGTTGGTTGGTTATGAAACTGATGGAGTGATGGTGTAACTTGATGGGTACTACTCACTGACACCACAAGTTGCTCTAACTTTGAGACTGATATACATTTCTTTTAGCTTGATACATTGCTTCTGATATAGGCCATAATCATTTAAAAGCTGTTTTTGCTGTCTTTCTCTCTAATTTTCACGTCACGGTAGGGTCCAAAATTTCACCTGTTTTATATTTCTAGTTGATCATAGAGTGATTTGCACGTTACTGTTCAGATTAGACCCACCCATCGCACTACAGTACTGTATAATTATAATAATATATAGAAAAAGCTTAAGCTATGAAATATATCCACACAAAACTAGATTGCCGTCAGAATAACAACTAAATTATGATAAATCTTAAAGTCGAATGCACACTGAACAATGAAATTATTAATATCCTTGGACTATATATGAAAATCTACTTGCTCGTGCGCATCTTTTGTTATTACTACTTCATTTGCTTTTAACAATTTCTTAATGATTGCTTCACCAATTTCGAATCTAATCCAAATCTCAAACTAGGCTATAGTTATCCTGGGATCTTTCTATTATCTTACCTTGTACTATATCATACGATGCATTACGTGTTACCTGGTAAACTTTACCATATATGAATTGATTGATCATAATCACCGCAAAAAACAAATAGTGTTTGTATTCTTGGCGGTTTTAGTTTTCGCTAATCAGACCACAGTAATTCAGTCACGTGCTTTTCCGTTGGTATCATGTGTCTGTCACGGTTCAACCTTCATGTGCAAGAAGAATAAAAAAAAGTGGGAGAACAAAGGAAAAAAAAAAAGGAATTTGGTCAGATCTCGCAGCCTTTTTATCTTCAAGGTTCAGAGTCTTCACATGCATCACGTAGTGCGTGAGAATTAATACCTGATCCACACACACTCTGGATCCACCTGTACAACACCCTCACTGTTTTGTCCTTATAATTTCAAATCAAGATAATGCACATGTTTATAGCAGTTAATGCAGCCCAAAATCAATAAATGTTTTTCTAAAACTATGTTTGAGGAAGTTATAAAAGGATCAACATTATATTAGTTCTGAAATATTTATATTTGGAAAAGAAAAATAGTTTTCCTTCAATACATTATTATCCCATATCCTTTGCTCTCTTACTTTAATTTTGCTCATATTATTGTTGTTCTTCATTTGCTTCGTGTACCAATAATTTTTTCATTTTAATAAAATAACCTTTATAAAAATAAATACACTGTTTTGTTCTATTTTCCAGGATCTTTTTCAGTAGAATTAACTTTTTCTCCACATCCTGACAAAAAAATATACAGAATGTCTTGCTTTGATCAAAAAAAATTCCACAATTATTTACAAAGTGGAAAGAATTCTTCATTTGTTATTTATCCTAAATTTAATATATTTTCAGAATATTAATTTATGTCGTTACTTACCTCCGTCATTCATGGCGGCAATAAAGAAGTATACCAATGTTACCGGTTTGAGTTTATCGATTGGGTTCAATTGGTTAAAACTAAAATTTATCCACTAAAAAAAAAACAAATATTTTCACTAAACTCAAACAATTTAATCATATATAGTAAAAATTAAATCGAATTTAAAAATGAAAAAAGTAACGTATTTTGAAAATTCAATAGTTGATTTTTCTGGTTAAGTATGGTTACGGTTTACGTAGACCAGTACAGTTAGAACCGGCTAAAGAACCCAAATGAAAATCCGTCTCCGTTATCTATGCAGTATAAATAAAACCAACCACTTCGTCTGCTTCATTTCTTCACAAGTCGTAACCGTTCAAATTCTCTCTTTCTCTCTCAATTTTTTTAGTTTCCTACTAAAGCTTAGTAATCGAAAATGCGTGAGATTCTTCACATTCAAGGTGGTCAATGTGGAAACCAGATCGGAGCTAAGTTCTGGGAAGTAGTTTGCGCCGAGCACGGGATCGATTCGACGGGAAGATACCAAGGAGAGAACGATTTGCAACTCGAACGAGTCAATGTCTACTACAACGAAGCAAGTTGCGGAAGATTCGTCCCACGCGCCGTCCTCATGGATCTGGAGCCTGGTACTATGGATAGTGTCAGATCCGGTCCGTACGGTCAGATCTTCCGTCCTGATAACTTCATCTTTGGTCAATCCGGTGCCGGTAACAATTGGGCTAAAGGACATTACACTGAAGGTGCTGAACTTATCGATTCCGTTCTCGATGTTGTTCGTAAGGAAGCTGAGAATTGTGACTGCTTACAAGGTTAGAAATTGTGGAATGATTAGCTGGATTTGGTCATAGTTAAGATTGATGTGAATTGTGATTTAGATTTGTGTGTGTTGATGTGAATGATTGTTCAGGATTCCAAGTATGTCACTCATTGGGAGGAGGAACTGGATCTGGAATGGGAACTTTGTTGATATCAAAGATTAGGGAAGAGTATCCAGATAGGATGATGCTGACGTTTTCGGTGTTTCCATCTCCGAAAGTGTCAGACACTGTTGTTGAGCCTTACAATGCAACTCTCTCTGTTCATCAGCTTGTGGAGAATGCAGATGAGTGTATGGTTCTTGACAATGAAGCTCTTTATGATATTTGCTTCAGAACTCTTAAGCTCACCACTCCTAGCTTTGGAGACTTGAATCATCTCATCTCTGCAACCATGAGTGGTGTCACTTGCTGTCTCCGTTTCCCGGGTCAGCTTAACTCTGACCTGCGTAAGCTTGCAGTGAACTTAATCCCATTCCCTCGTCTCCACTTCTTCATGGTTGGGTTTGCACCGCTCACATCTCGTGGATCACAGCAATACAGAGCCTTAACTGTTCCTGAGCTCACCCAACAGATGTGGGATGCCAAGAACATGATGTGTGCAGCTGATCCGCGTCACGGCAGGTACTTGACAGCCTCAGCCATGTTTAGAGGCAAAATGAGCACCAAAGAAGTTGACGAACAGATGATCAACGTTCAGAACAAGAACTCATCTTACTTTGTGGAATGGATCCCGAACAACGTGAAATCAACCGTGTGTGACATTCCACCAACGGGTCTGAAAATGGCTTCGACTTTCATCGGGAACTCGACTTCGATCCAGGAGATGTTTAGGCGTGTGAGCGAACAGTTCACAGCGATGTTCAGAAGAAAAGCTTTCTTGCATTGGTACACAGGTGAAGGAATGGACGAGATGGAGTTCACAGAGGCAGAGAGCAACATGAACGATTTGGTATCAGAGTACCAACAGTACCAAGACGCAACCGCTGATGAGGAAGAAGGGTATGAGTATGAAGAAGACCAAGTGGAAGTGCAGGAGGAGCAATAACAACAGCTTCTCTCTTTTTCTTAAGATCTTTTTTTTTTTTGCTCGTTTGTGTGAGTTAGTGTCTTCTTATTTCTCATGTTGATGGCTTGGTTTATTTTTTTCTTTTCTGGTTATGGTTTTCGTGTATTGACATTTGGCTATGTGTGATGGTGCTTTTAGGTTTAAGGCTTAGGAAAATATATGTTTATATGTCTTTTCATGTGATTGGATTTGAGATATTGTTTGTTAGGTTTTTCCCCCTAAACGTTATTCCATCTGTTTGCTATACCATATTGTATTAAAACTCTCTAGTACAGTATTTGGTATATTTGAAGTTTAAGTTATGTTGTTAATGTTAGGATTTTAATCATAGGTCCCCTCAAATCTCATTGACGGGGGTTACTACAGTTTCTGACAGTCTGCCGATTGAACGTTCGCTAACAATTTGAGTTTCGGAACTGTTGTGTTGAAGCATAAAAATCGGATATATATATATATATTGGTTTTTTTTTTTTGATGTAAAAAAATTAATTGAAACGAGAGAAAGTAGATAATAAAGAATCTTCAAAAATATAGAAAAAAGTTAAGAGATAATTACTCCATATATAAAAATATGTTAAGAGATAATTACTCCCTAACAACCCCCGGGGCCCAATCCCCTCCCTCATGCGTGTATAATATTGACGAGAGAAAGAAGAAACGATAGTTTCAGGTGGAAAAAGATGTTAGGACGGCTTTTGTTAATTATCAGCTCAATGCATGTTGCGTATGCTATCTCGACACAATTTGTGAAGAAAAGAGCCAAACGTCGTCGTGGTCAGAGAATTGGAGGTGAAGACAAGATCAGTGCATTGCCGGACGATTTGTTGGTGCATATATTGTTGTTTCTCCACACGAAAGATGTAGTGGCCACTATGATTTTGTCAAAACGATGGCGGTATATTTGGACGATGGTACCAAGACTTGGGTATGGGTACCGAAAGATCAATGGTGATACTCACAAAGTATTTATTGGCGGTTTATTTGGTCGTTTACTTGGCCGTTTATTTGACAAAAGTGAGCAGCAACAACGGTGTTTATGGCGGTTTATTGACAAATCATTACAACTCCACAAGGCACCTGTATTAGAAGAATTAATGATAGAACTCGGTCCTTCAAGAGGTCATGTTGATGTGGAAAAGTGGATTGCAAATGCTGTTGATCGTAGGGTGCGCGAGCTAGGGTTGAAAATCGCGTGGTCTGCGGGACCTGCCAGTTTGTCTAAGAGCCTTTACACATGTGATACGCTTGTTAGACTATATTTGTCCGGCAAGATTCTTATGGATGTTCCTTCTCGGGTTTGCCTCCCATCACTTAAAAGTATTGTCCTTTACTCTGTGGTGTATAAAGATGAAGATTCTCTTGTTAGGCTTTTATCGAATTGTCCTATTCTCAAAATTTTGTGGGTAAAACGACATCACCACGACAATGTGAGAAATTTCAATATAACAGTCCCATCTTTGGAACGCTTGGTATATGATAATATTGATTATTTTGGAGTGCACAACGAAGGAATAGAAGGATCTTTGGTTATAGATTCCCTAGCTTTAAAGCAAATCTTCTACAGAGATTATTCGGGAGATTCTTGCTCGATTGAGAACAAGACTTGTTTTGATAAAGCAGCTATCGACTTTTTTAGTTACCCTGATGACAAGTTTATGAGATCTATTTCCTCAGTCACGAATCTCGAACTAGATTTGAGTGTTGCAACGGTGTGTAGCACTATTTCAACATCATTCTTTTTCTTATTGTTAATTATGATTATTTTAGTAGCGCTTATCTATGTGTTCTTGCCTTCATTAATGTAGGCTGCATGGTGTAACGCTATTAACTTCTCCCAGCTTATTGAGTGTACTGTAACACTTTTAGCTGAGTTAGACTGGTTGGAATCACTAATGGGATTGCTACAAAATTCTCCTATTCTTGAAGTTCTTTTCATCGACCAGGTTTGTAGTTTCTTTCATGTTAGTTTTTATGGACTAATTGAAAGTAAGTGTTTACTTTAAATCCTCTTGTTGTTGCTTCACAGACATTCATTCGATTTGAAGAGGATTTCTCACTTTCATGGAACGAACCAAGTTTTGTTCCCGGATGTTTCGCAGCCCATCTCAAGATCTTTGAATGGAAAGGATATATAGGACGACACAAAGAGAAAGAAGCCATAAAATATATCTTTGCCAACTCCAATTGTTTAGAGAGAGTTCAAGTTTCTATGGAATCAACATGCAAGCTTAAAGATAGAGAGAAGATGATGAAAGAGTTAGAATCTATGTCTAGGGTTTCCACGTCATCCCAACTACTTTTCTCCACTCAATTGGAATTTCCGAGCTTTTTAAATGAAATAGATTGAATGACTAATCTATATCATGGATCATTTATTATTTTACTAGGTTATAACCCCCGCTATGCAGGAGTTTACTTTTATTAAAACTAGGTTATTTAGCCGCGATACTCGCGGCTTGTTGCATACTACGTTATATGTTTGCTATTTCTTTTCTTTAGTTTTTTTTACTTGAATTTAAAATTTAAAGAAAAATAAATGAATGACAGTAAATTCAAATTTGATTTTTTCTATAAAATTTGAATTGTATTCATCTATATACAATGATATTTATGTTTTTTTTTAAAAAATGATTAAGAGTATATTACTTCTTTTAATCAATACAATATTTGATTAAAAGTCATCTCCTCTTCACAGCCTCTTACAAAATTGACAAAAATGTAATATTGAAACACCATTAGTCGGATTATAAAAGAAATTGTTATGAGAAAAAAAAGAAAGAAAAGAAATTGTTATAAAATTTATCAATATTATAAAATTTGGAATATGATGGTTAGTGATATGTGTATATTACTATTTCTAAAAGATAACATATTTACGTTTTACAACTATTCAATTTTAACAATTATGTTTAAATGTCATTTATGAGTAAGTTAATTGTATGTATATCATAAAAGTTATGTTACATTTCAAAGAATTCATTGTGTAGAATTCATTTTGTATTAATTGTATTTAAAGTATTGTTGTAATTTAGTGTGAGCATTAACAACATAATGATAATTATTAGTATGAAGGTTACAAAATATGAGAAAATACATAAAATATAATTATAATATATTATAGAAAAATCTTAAATTATTATATGCTAATGATGTGGATGATATTTGTTTCAATATAAATATGATTGTAATTTTTTTTAAAGACTCTTAAGATTTGATATCTTGCATTTGCTCATATTTTAGTGTTGTTTTTTATTTTACTATTATTTATGTATGTAAACATCAATAAACATATGTTATCTATTACTTTTACAAAATAAATTGTTGATATAAACTCACAGATAATTTGTTTGTTTGTTGATATAAATTCCCACATAATAGTTCAAATTCATATTATTTTGCAAGTGGCAAACTAAATTTATTTTTTCTTATAAAAATTATATGAACTTCATTCTAATTAAAATCATTAAAGATCCAAGGATAACTTCTATATTTGTTTTAAAAAATTTTCACTCTTCAATTTAAATTATAGGGCTAGATTTTATACTAATTGTTTTATCTTTATATGATTTAATAAAATGATTTTTTTTTTTCATTTTAATTATTTTTTTTTGTATATTTCACTCTATTTAAGTATGAGTGTTAGGTTTTTAATCTTAAGAACCAAATGTTTTTAAACGAAATTCTTTTTACTTTGAAAAATACTTAAACCTCAAATTTTAAATAAAATAAAAGTATAACGATTTTTATATAATTATCTATTGGATCACAAAAAGTAAATATAATAATACATATATTAAAAATAAACTACAATATTTATTCGAGATAAGAAAAAGGTAAGAAATATATATTAATAAATGTATTACAAACAAAAAAAAAAGTTACATGAATATATTAGAAAATAATAAAACATCTAAAGTAGATAATGGAAATGGATTTTTTCAACTTCATTATCTTGTTGTGGTATGATTGGAATTGTTATATTTAACTCTCCATCACCAATAAACCTGAAAATTTTGTTATAACCATCAAAACTTTTAGTATACATATGTGAATTTAAACTTAAAAATATGAAAATTAAAGAATAAATAATTATATTTTAGTATAGCTTTAGAAATATACAAAAATGAATACAATGTTAGATATATATAATACATTCTAAAATATATTTAGAATAGAATTCTTGATTTTTAATCCATATAACAACATAAAAATAGACACATAAATATAGTAGAAAAAGTTGAGAAAATGATTACTTATATGATGATTATCTAAAATAGACAATGAAGATGCATCTTTCAAAAAAAAAAAAAAAACTAATGTAAGAACACAAAACAAAAAAATATTTAAGATTTGAGCTATAGGGGAAGGGTGAGAGGATGAGAGGATGAGAGAATGAGAAATGAGTATTTATAGGATGAAAAGTTAGATAAGTTACAATTTAAATAAATAAATTATGGGAGTTACAATTCCAATTTATTGTGTGTTGAATAAAATTGAGAGGAAAAATATAATTAATATATAATTTTAATGATCTCTGTTTTTATATTAAAGTGTGAGTTAAATGTGTTTTATTTATGATTTAGTTAAAAATAAAAAAAATTTAAGTTACATTTCTAAATGGACCAATAAGAAGAGAGTGAAACCCTACAATCTGTAATTAAAGAGAAGACTGAGAAGATTGAAGAACTTAATGCGACAATTTTGGAGCTTCGTGGTGATTTGGAGAGGCAAAACTTGGAGATATCATCAATTAATACAGAAGATGAGAAGATTTCGATTGAGCTTGGATTACAGAAAAGGATTGATGAAATGGAAACAATAGTTTATCGTCAACGCATCGTCATCAGGGGATTGACAGGATTGCTTGTATGTGTCGTATCAGCCATTGTCTTTTGTATTGTTAATTTGTTAGTGATGTTTGAATTTTATTTGGCTTGTTAGTAATGCTTTTTGTTAGTGTTGTTTGAATTTTGCCAATTGACCAATAATAACTCAGCCGAGTAAACGTAGATAACTCAGCCGTACAAAAGTAATTTACTCAGGCGTTAAATGTATATAAACTCAGCCGTGACATCAAAAATTACTCATAAGTCCACCGTGTTGCTGGAATAACTCGGCTAAAAGTAAATAACTCAGCCGTTAAATGTATAAAAACTCAGCCGTGACATCAAAAATTACTCATAAGTCCGCCGTGTCGCTGGAATAACTCGGCTAAACCACGAATTCATCTGTGTTAAGTCAGCCATATCGCTAGAATAACTTGATATAAATTCAGTAACATAGATTCATTAACATATCAATAACATAGATTCAAAAAAAAAAAAAAAAAAAAACAAATAGAATGGATATCTCCATTCTTAGTCTGATTCCGACCCCGACAACTCGGTCGGCTTAAAGCCCAGTTTGTCCCAGTTGATCCCCGTCACGTTGAATGCCACCTTCTCCTCGTAAGCCTTCCTTGCCTGCTCCTTCACGATATGGAACTCCTCCTCCACGTTAAATCCGTCCTTCAAACTCATCATCTTCCTTAGGAGATCCAGTTTCGCATTCTCCTCACGTAACGTGAGATCCAAAGCGTGGGCTTCCTCCGTCTCTTTCATGTTGTGTTTGATGAGAGAGATGATGCCTTCGAAACGTTCTTTCTGCTCTTGCATCTCCACTGCATGCCTCCTGCTGCGAGAACCGTCTTCAAAACGCGTCCTCTTGCTGCTAGACCCTGATGCATCCATGATCGACAAGAGGAAAGACAAGAGAGATTATATAGATTAGTTGCTAATAATCAAGAAGAGAAAAGACGAGAGAGAATTGTTTTACAAGAATTATATTTAGAAGAGATATATATAGGGAAAATAGGTATATGGGTATCTAGGTATAATGATAACTTGAGTGGGTAGTTATTCGAGGTGGGGAGTTATCCGAGGTGGGGAGTTATACAACATTTGTATAACTCGACAATAATAAACTCCTAATAAACCATAACTCAGCCGTGTTGTTAGATTATCTCACCCAAACAACGAATTAATAAACATCAATCCAGACGCATCACACAAACCTAAAACATTATCAACCCCATACATAATCATCACGAGAACTCAAAAGCATAAATAGTTAGTACAAAAGACAATCACATGTTCGAAACACTAATATTTTACATATCATCATAATGTATCATTGGACATCAAAAGCAGCGAGCAGGTCAGGTGCCTCATCATAGATCTCTGTTGCCATCTTAACCCGTATAGCCTGAATATTTTCATCACAGATGCCAACGAAACTTACACCAAGCGCTAGACATTCGATAAATTTCAACGCGTACACGCCACAGTCTCCAACTTGGACGTTCTGAGGGACCCTCGATTTATTCCTCCTTCTGAATGAAAACTGCTCGAACCTAGGTGAATAGATTTCAGGAGGAATTATTTCATTCATCATCTGAGGAATCATCCTCGTAAACGGCCTACAAGCCTCCAGCACAGATAATTCACTTTCCTTGGTATGATGCCCCACGATGCTTGTTGGGGTCGGATTCCACCCGCGTTAAGATCTAGCCAAAACACGACACCTCGTGATCTACCACCAGAACGGCTCGGGGAACTATGACTAGGCCAGTTCGGGATCACTCGCCGAACTGGCTCGGTAAACGACGATCAAATCGGCTCGGGATCAATCACCGAATCGGCTCGGGTTAGGACATGATTAAACCGGTTCGGGTCATCCTGCTTTAGCTCGGAAACGAGACCCAGAGTATCCTTACCCGAGCTGAATTCTCCCTTCGTCCCGAGCCGATTTGGCAAAATCACCCGAGGCAAAGAACCAAGTCACCCGAGGCAAAAAGGACTTTGTGGTCAATACACTGAGAGTATGAGATTGCTGTTTGTTTGAAAACAAAAGCTCTCTTCGCATGTGATCCAATCATCTCTTCCATTCCTATTTCCAGAACTGTAATCGACGGTGACACTTCTTTATCAACAATCTGCACCTCCATCTCCATTTCATTTACTTTCACAGAATACGGTTTTGCTTTCATCCATTCTTCAACACTAGATGAACTATCTGTGATACTGTTTAGAACAAACGCTTGAAAACAATCTAAGCAGCCTTTGTTCTCTGAACACAACTCGTGTCTATCTTGATTTAACAATGTTATCTCCAAATTCGCATAAGGAGCTCTACACCATTGATCCCTTTCTACGACAAAATCTCTGTCACAATTCAGTTCTTGTTGCTGCTTCTCCATTCCAACTAACAAAATATGATCACATGCTGCCACATTGTTGGTCCAGAACAAACACAGATACTCTTTATTTGCTTTCCGTTGCCACATTGCAGTTTGCTTTCCTCTGACTTCAAAACCAGATTTGAAATCTCTTGGTGCTACTCTATGTTTGAACTTGAATCTCCTCGACTTGTAAAACGTTTTCTTTCGTCCCGTTGTCAACACTGTTTCTCCCAGTGGAATCATATCAGAACATGTGAATTTCCAGAACCTGAAAACGCTACCAGAGTGAAAGGCATCACAATCAATTCCACAATATATTTGGGATTGAGTTTCTTCCAAAACTGCAGATGAGAAATCCTCAAGAGCATAGACTGATTCATCGTTACATAGCGAATTCATCTTTTTCACAATCATCTTGGCGTGAATCAAATCAGATTTCAAATTGCAACTCTGTGTCCATAACGTCACTCCATTTACTTTCACAAATTCTGGTTCTTCTTTTATCAGAACCAGCTCTAGATTCGATGATTCCAAGTAGTCGTTGCTCTCTGTACACAACTCAAGTCTCTCTTGATTCGATGATGCTATTTCACCTGCTTCTAATTTGAATTCCATTGCAGTCCGTGCTGGACTATCCTTCCCATTCAACAACAACAAATCACTAAATGTCTCAATCATTCTCATACTCTTGGAGAAAGTTAGTGCGTGCAGTTTCCTGAAGCCACTCTTATACTTAAACATCCATGATTTAAACCCTTTCCTTTTCTTCTTAATTCCTAGTCTTTCTTTATAGTGAGACATTTTATCGAACAGCTGGTGTGCAGAGCAAATCTTGGTGTTACTTATCAAATTTTGACTCCTCTCAACATCACCTTCAACCTCAAAGCTTTTATTAACGTTCTTTTGAACCCATTCTTGCTCTAGATTCTCATTCTCATTCATCACTACATACTCTAGAGTTTCCAACTTTGAATTTTCTTTCCTAAGTTCAATATTCCTCAAACTCTCAGAATCTGAAATTGGTACCTGAAATTGTGGAAGTGATTCTCCTTCCAAGATCGTTTCATATACCAAATTTTCATGATTCTCCAAATTTGGCTTCTCCTCTTGAGCTGTAGACAACAAACTCACCGTACAATGCTCAATTGATTCACCAATAGGGGGTTGGTCTTCATCACCATCAATCATGAGAATCCCTGTATTCTTGTGTTTGATATGATGATCTGGAGTTTCTGGCTGTTCGCAAAACACACATAACCCCTTCAACCTTCTCTCGTTAATGTCTTCCAACGAGATTCTCCGATGAAGCTTGTATCTGCGAGTTGACGACGATGAAGCTTTAGGAATCTCTGGAGTAACGTTGATAACATAGCTTGGTTTCGGATCTTGACGATTGAAATCCGGTGAGTCTGGAAGATGCGGCGAGGCTGGAAGAGCATCTACTTGCGGATTCTCCTCCTCTGTGCTCCTAGATCGCAACAACAAGAGCAAAGCAGTAATTCGTGTGTCGATCTTTTCATTTTGGTTCGCGATTGTCTCTTTCAATTTGTCTATTCCCGATCCAAAAGTTTCGTCAACTTTACGAACCATAGCTTTTGCAAACAAGCTTTTAGATCTTGTGTCTGCCATGGATGCCGAGAATCGTCTTCGCTCTGATACCTTTGATACAGTTAAACTCCAATTCTCACCAAATCCAACAAACACAATTTCAATTTCAATTCAATATTCAAACGGAGAAGATCCAATGTTCCTAAAACAAGGAATCTCCAGATTCATCTTGTAAGAACCTCTTAGGGATCTTCACAGAGGATGAATCAATGTTTACAAACCCAGAATTAGAGAGAAATCTAACAAACTTCAACAATTTTCATGATAAAATCCTTTTCTGATCTTCAGCTTCCTTTAAACCCAGCAATCTCTGATAAATTCATCTCAGCCGTTGCTTCTTTCTTTTAATCACCACCGTCCACGTGTCCACTCTGCTTAGCCCTCCTTTTACTATATCAAGTTTCGATTCTTGTGGTTTTTAGGGTTGCTTCTAGTATAGATGCAGTTTTGCTTTCTCATCCAGATACGCTTCATCTTGGTGCTTTTCCTTATGCTATGAAGCAGCTTGGACTCTCTGCTCCTGTTTATGCTACTGAGCCTGTTCATAGATTAGGTCTCCTTACAATGTATGATCAGTTTTTATCCAGAAAGGTGAGATTTTCCGATTCGTTAACTTCAGGATTTGTTAGTTTTGCACAATTTTCTTCATTGTAACACTGTGATTTTTATTGTTGCAGCAAGTATCCGACTTTGATTTGTTTACACTGGATGACATTGATTCTGCTTTCCAGAATGTGATCAGATTGACTTACTCTCAAAATTACCATCTTTCTGGTATGTGGTTTTCGTAGTCCTCGGTCTTTTATAGCAAACAATATCTATGTATCCCATATTGGGACTGAGTTCACTGAAACATATCGAGTATTGTTGGACACCTAAGTTATGACTACAAATATTGGGATGTCTCAAGGTTTTATCGTTGCTATTAGGAAAGGGAGAGGTATTGTAATTGCTCCTCATGTTGCTGGACATATGCTGGGAGGTAGCATCTGGAGGATAACAAAGGATGGGGAGGATGTTATATATGCTGTTGACTACAATCATCGGAAAGAAAGGTACACATGTTCAGCTTTCACCTTATTTGGAGTTCGAGTATTGTTCATAACAGTAAATAAAGAAGCGGATCGTGATACTGAATTGTACATCTTAATTCAGGCATTTAAATGGAACTGTTTTACAGTCTTTTGTTCGGCCTGCTGTTCTGATAACCGATGCATATCATGCTCTTTATACCAATCAAACCGCAAGACAGCAAAGGGACAAAGAATTTCTAGGTTGGCTTGTAGCTCAATATGTGTTGTATCTCTTCTATGGTATTTAAAAACAGCCCGGTTCTAACTGCCAGAAACACGTGTGCATGTGCCCATTTATTAATCAGATACCATTTCAAAACATCTTGAAGTTGGGGGAAATGTTCTATTACCCGTGGATACTGCGGGTCGAGTCCTGGAACTTCTCTTGATACTTGAACAGGTAATAGAATCGCTTTGAATGTATTATGTTCTTAGTTAATGTTCAGCTACTTACTTAAAGACTGGATATTGATCAAACCTGCAGCATTGGTCACAAAGAGGTTTCAGCTTTCCCATTTACTTTCTCACATACGTGTCATCTAGCACAATTGACTATGTTAAGAGTTTCCTCGAGTGGATGAGTGACTCCATTTCAAAGTCCTTTGAGACTTCACGTGATAATGCCTTTCTATTGAGGTAGATTTTCTTATAAGAATGCCTTATTTCGTTTGTATACAATACAGAAAACATCAAATGAAATCTAAACACATGCAGGCATGTCACTCTCTTGATAAACAAGACTGATCTGGATAATGCTCCACCTGGTCCAAAGTTTGGTTTATAAAATTATATGTAACTCATTAATGTTTGTTAGTACATAGAACTTGGTGGATTTTATATTTTATTTCCTTTCTTTTGAGCTGATAGTAGAACTATATTTTTCATATTGTATGTTGGAGTGACTGAAGTACTGAACCTCATTATATAGGTTGTTCTTGCTTCCATGGCCAGTCTCGAAGCAGGTTTTGCTCGGGAGATATTCGTGGAGTGGGCAAATGATCCCAGAAATTTAGTCCTCTTTACTGAAACAGGGCAGGTATGTTTTTATAACCCTTATACGTTGAGGAACTAAAATGTATTAGCATTGCGTTCTTGATAATTGAAATATAAGCTAGACAAAAGTAAATTTATTCAAATAAACAGTTTGGAAACAAATGGCTTTAGTTAATTATTTTACGACCTTCTCAGTTCTGTATGACAATGCTTTCTTGTCCATGTCAATCCATCCAGAAAACAGAGCACTACTGAATTATTAAGTTTGTACTACCAATGACACCGTAAAATCCAAGTGAAATTATTGAAGTCCTTCATCCAACTTGTTACCCTAGTCATTGGTCATGTTCCTTAGTCGCGATGGCGATTATACTTTCCATGTGGCCATTCACAGTTTACGTGATCTAAGATTTGCAAGATGTTTCGGTTTGTAATCAATCATATAAAAGTAAACTGCTGTTTGATTGATTTTTTCTTGTCATGTGCCTCTATTTGAAGTTTGGCACTTTAGCTCGCATGCTTCAGTCAGCCCCACCTCCCAAATTTGTTAAAGTCACCATGTCAAAGAGGGTTCCTTTGGCTGGGGAAGAGTTGATTGCGTATGAAGAAGAGCAAAACAGACTGAAAAGGGAAGAAGCTTTGCGAGCTAGCCTCGTCAAAGAGGTGGAAACAAAAGCTTCCCATGGATCCGATGATAATTCAAGTGAACCTATGGTCATAGATACCAAGACTACTCACGATGGTATTTTTTGTCTTATATTATAAAACATTTTAGTAGCCTTGAAGATTATGTGGCCTGTAACTTCTTATTTTTCATGTAAACTTCAACTTAAATCGAAGTGTCTAGTACAGAAAATGGCTATGCATATGGTACTCTCTGTAATGTACTAGTAGTTAGTTTTAGGAGGCATTTATGTGGTTATCTTGGAGTGAGGTAGAACCGTAGAAGCTACATTTAGAAGTCTCACAATATATTTCTGGCTAAATTTGTTTAGTTTTTTCACATTCCCAAAATATGTGTCTTTTTCAATTAGACCTCCTGTTACAGTTGTTGATTGCTGTTCTTTCCACTACATAGTGGTCTGCAACTGATCTTTCACATTTCTGACCACACTTGCAGTTGTTGGTTCTCACGGGCCTGCATATAAAGATATATTGATTGATGGATTTGTTCCCCCATCTAGCAGCGTAGCTCCAATGTTCCCATTTTATGACAACACATCTGAATGGGACGACTTTGGGGAGGTTATCAATCCAGATGATTACGTGATCAAGGATGAAGACATGGACCGAGGAGCAATGCATGTACGTTACTTGTAATTCTGGTCTTGGTCTTTATTTAGCTCTTGTTATATTTGCAAACTAGACCTCATAATTTCCATGATGTGTGCACTGGTTCTACAGTTGCATCTTTATTTTCTCTTTTACAACTGATTGCTTACTAGTAAAGGTTTAGGGTCATTCTATGTAGAGTCTTGTGTTGCTTATTAAATTTGTGATATAAAATTCCATTTCAGAACGGAGGTGATGTGGACGGAAGGCTTGATGAGGCAACTGCTAGTCTCATGCTTGATACAAGACCTTCGAAAGTCATTTCCAATGAGCTCATTGTAAGTAGACTCTAATACAAACTTCATAAGAGCTCACTAACCATCTAAAGAACAAGATATCGGTAGATATTTGGTCTCAGCTAATCCTCTCATTTGTTCTCCCTTTCTAGAAACTCTGATTATTGTTATAGGCTGCTTATCAATGATAGGCACAAGGAGTAGTCTTCTCACTTTGAAATAGAGAGATAGGAATTCTCATTGACATCGCGTTGGGCCTATCAAATTTATCTTCTTACGATCGCCAGCTCTGTAGCATATCATATGAGGTCTATGATCTACCAGATTTAACGAGAATATTGTCTGTTGAGACATGGAACTCAATTCTGACAGAAGCAGAAAGATTCTTCCTCTCATGTTTTCTGCCAGATATGGATCAACAGACTTTTAGTTTGACGATCCAGGAACTTTTTGGAGGCGCCAATTTATATTTTGGGAATCCAGAGGATAGGTTTTACAAGACATTTGAGAGGAGGATTGTTTACTCCAAAGGTAGCTTGTTTCAAAGAAGGTGTTATGTTTGTTAAGAGGAAAAAGTATTACTACTCTTTAAAGTTCTATCATGAAAAGCTGATCAAGACATTCACCGAGATGCAGAGGTTGCGGGTTCTGTATGGAAAGAAATTGGGCAATAACTCAAGACTCCTCCTTTGGTCAGAACAAACACAAACCGGGAATCTAAAGCTGCTAGACCTTAATAGAGTTCCATCTGAGGAAATGGATAGTGCTACATGTAGATTCAAAACTCCCAATGTAGTGAAACCTGTGGAAAGAAATAGAAGGAAAAGTTAAACCTTCCCTCGCAGTGGCAGCTCCAAAAACACTCTTAAAGATAAAGATAACCAATAGAGGAATATTCCGGTACCAAGGTTCCAGCTTAGTTTTTGCTGGACATCATCATCCGACTTTGCCAAAGGGTCTTCTCAAATTAGTCCCTAAATCTTCTTCTGCCATTCACAGAACAAAATCTGCCTCTAAAGCAAGAAGAATATGTCCACTACCACCTGAAGTCTCCTGGTTTTAAGCCCAGGACTGTTGATAGAGCCTCTCAAACAACAGAGACTGAGAGGATTTTGTCTGGTAATAGCTTTCAGAGGGAAGCCGAGGTCCTGAGAAAACCGCTGCGTGTTCTGAGCAAAGACTCGAGAAACCGATAAGGCCCATTTGTTTTCCTTGACATACAAGCGAAGAAAGGATCAGAGAATCGCTTGAGCCTGCACTCTATGCTAATCCAATGTTCCACCTAATGTACTCTTCCATTACTCGAGATTCATGAATATATGAACTGTAATGCAAATTGGTAGCTGGATTTGGTTTGGGGTTGAGTTGGTTTCGTTTCAAAATTTAGAGGCACTAAAAAGAAACATTGAAGAAATAGAGGAGTAAAGTGAAATAGAGGAGTAAATACCAAAAACCTCAAAGCTCTCACAACGGTACGCTCCTCCAATTCTCCAAAACGTTATCGCTTTCGAAGTTTTATTATAGTCATCACTAGGGGTTTAGCGATATATACCAAAAGAAAACTCATAAATTTTGGTGAAGGGTCTCTCGTTCGTGAATGGGTTTAGGGCTTCAGCAATTTCCAGTGTCTACCCAGGAAAAGCTGATTGAATTCTTTCTTCGGCTGTTGTTGATTTTTTTAAATCATGTTTCTTTGAAATTAAGTCTGGGATTCTCCGCTGTGACTAGGAGATAATGGGTTTTTGTAATTGCAGGATATGAACTCAATTACTCAATGACTGCTCTTGTTCTGGGTGAAGGCTGTGTCGGAAAATCATCCACTGTCAATTCTCTTATCGGCGAACAAGTCGTCCATGTCAGTCCTTTCCAGGTACGTAATTTAGTTTCTCTAAGCTTTTAATTGATTTTCATTTTTTATTTTGATTAGTATAGTCATTTCAAGATGTTGATGGGTCTGTATTCTAGGCTGAAGGATTGAGACCAGTGATGGTTTCAAGAACTATGGAAGGATTCACTATCAACATTTTTGATATCCCTGGACTTTTGGAAGCTGGATATGTCAATCACCAAGCCCTCGAGTTAACCAAAGGGCCAGTACTACTCTTTTGGAATCTCTATTCAAAGATTATAGAAAATGAACAATTTGAAAAGAAAGGGGTTATTTAAAAATTAAAAGGAATTATATGGACCAGGGATGTAATTACTTCAGACTAAAAACCGTCTTTCACGGTGGCTTCTTCTTCTTTGGTTCATCGGAGAAATTTTAGGGTTTATATCGCCGAACGGAAAAAATGGGTACTTCGGTGCAAGTTACTCCTCTATCCGGAGTTTACAACGAGAATCCTCTTTCCTACTTAGTCTCCATTGATGGTTTCAACTTCCTCATCGACTGTGGTTGGAACGATCTCTTTGATACATCGCTCCTCGAACCTCTCTCCAGGTTTCTCTCCTTACTATCTTCGTTTCCGGAATCAGCAATCTAGTTTTCGTTATGATTTCGAATTACAATGTGTGGTTTTGATGTATGTGGTTTTCAGGGTTTTTTTTTTTTTTTTTTTTTTTTTGGTAAAAGGTTTTCAGGGTTGCTTCTAGTATAGATGCAGTTTTGCTTTCTCATCCAGATACGCTTCATCTTGGTGCTCTTCCTTATGCTATGAAGCAGCTTGGACTCTCTGCTCCTGTTTATGCTACTGAGCCGGTTCAATGATGACAGTGGAAATTAACTCTTTACCTCAAACTAGGCCTGGGCATTCGGGTACCCGTTCGGGTTCGGTTCTTTTTTTTCGGGTATCGGGTCTATTCGGGTAGGGGGTCAAGACCCATTCGGTTATTCTAAAAATTTGGTTCGGGTTCGGTTCGGGTTCGGGTCGGTTCGGGTATTTTAATAAAAAAGCAAAATACCCGAAAATAACCAAAAATACCCGAAATATTTTCGGGTTCGGGTCGGGTTCGGGTTTTTAACTCATATATACCCAAATCTAACCGAAATACTCGATTTATCGAAAATACAATGGTTACTCTTTACCCAAATATAACCAAAAATATCTAAAATACCTAATATATTCGGATTTATGATTGTAATTTTAGGTATTTCGGGTATTATAAATATAAATATAACTAATATTTATAGGTGTATATTTGTATTCGGGTACATTCGGGTACATTCGGATATTGGATTCGGTTCGGGTTCAGTTCGGGTTTTTTTCGGGTAGGAGGTTAGAACCCATTCGGGTATTTTTAAAAATCGGGTTCGGATTCGGTTCGGGTATTGTTCGGGTTTTTCGGTTCGGGTATTCGGTTCCGGGTATTTTGCCCAGGCCTACCTCAAACAAACCTCCGCTCGTGCATCAGTATTTGCAAGTCTTTGCTTAATGTCTTTAGCAATAGAGAAGAAAACTTCGTCAACTTTTAAGTTAGTCTTGGCACTCTACAATTAGCAAACTCTTCATCAAAGTTAACCAATTGAAAAGAATTTGACCTTTTTCTATATCAATGTATCATCATCGTTTTTTCTTCTTTTGAAATCAATATGAGATTCATATCTCTCATCTGTCTCCTCTTCTTTCTCTTCTTCACTTCATCTGCTTACGCCCGATTCGTCTCCCTACATCCATTATCAAAATGGTTGTTTCGGCTCCGGTTAAGGAAAATGAGGAAGCTTGTGAAAAAACCTATGGGTTTATGCCGTGTACTAAGACCGCTCTTGGAAACGTGTTTCTAATTTTGGTTTATGGATTTCTCATGTTCACGATTGCGACGTATTTCTCTGCTGGAAGTGAGGTTCTTCTTGAGATCCCTGGCCCTGAGAAAAAGTGAATTTTTGTTATGTTTTGCGAATCAAATAGAGAAATGATGATGATTCACTGATGTTAACCGATGAACTAAATTAGAAAAAGTAAATAAAAAAAGAAAGAAGAAAAATAATGGATGTATTGTTCAACGAATGGATGACTTTATATAAGTATAGTGAATGTCGATTTAGGGTTAGAATATTGTTTAAGCAATATTATGAATTTATGATACTCAAATATGTTGGGAATATTCGTGTTGTTGGTTTATTTAATTCAAAAATTATAATTTACGAGATTTAAGGGAAGATCTGATCTAGATGTTAGGAACATATCAAGATTTAGTAACTAATTGTGATCACATTTAATTTTCGAAAGTTTTGGAAGATTTGTATCAAGATTTTTAGAAACAAATTAGGATATGTTGTGAACAATAGGGTTTTGAGATTGTTCTCTGTTATTGATGTATTCTATAAGATAGAGATACAACATATATCTATACTAGTATAATCGCAGCACTTTTTGTGACGGGTAGGTAAAAAAGCTTTCGGATATATCGGATATCCGACCCATTTTAAAAATTTCTTCACAAAAAATTTGTTGGGTCGGGTTATATTTAACCCAACTCATACACCGGATATTCTATATTTAATAATTTAGATTTTCAAAAGATTTGATTAAGATTTATAATTATGATTCTCCTATCATCTATGTTTGATTTATTTTTAACTGTTTTGAATCATCATATAATACATAAAGTAAAAAAAAAAATCAATTTTTTTTCTGCATATACTGTGATTCGAAATTTTAAAAACGGACATATATTATCCAATTGACGAAAATGTGTGTTCAACGTTCTACATCGATTAAAATATTTAGACAATGATTCAGAATCATATCATAAATAAGAACATTAATAAAATAAATGAGTTTTTTGGCGGGATGGGTTTGGCGGGACGGGTTTTTGAATCAACAATAATAAAAAGATTAAAATATCATTAATCCGCCGCTTCAATACAGATTTAATCCTTATTTTTTTTAATACAAATCACAGGACGTGTTAAGAAATTACGGAACGGGTTATATTTCGGAAATGATTTATATGGCGGACGAATTTGAATCAATATTTATATACCGCTTTAATTCGGGTTAAATCCTCAGTTTATTAATAATTATCTCGTGGACTCGTGGTATACCGTTACTTAATAACAATTGTAAACTATAATATAAATAAATATGTTATAAGGAGATACAATTTACAAAATATTTTTATACTCTTTAAAATTAAATCATCCCGCGGTGTACCGCGGGTTAAAATCTAGTATATAGGATATAATATTAGGGTTTAACTTAGAGATTAGGTATTCAAGAATCTACTAATTAAGCCTAGACAAAATATTCGTGAGATTCGCTTCGACTCGGTATTCGTTCTGATTCGATTCGAAAAATCCGAATATCCGTAAAATTTTGGAGCAAAGCAAATAGAAAAATATAATATTCGAGAAAACCGAAGTAAATAACAAATATTGATTTTTTTAAGTCGGATATCCGCTTTGATCCGTATTGTTTGATATATATTTGGTAAAATTTTTATGAAATATATGCATATCATAATATATTTTTAGCTTGTATTTGTAAACTCAGTTTTTTTTCCTTTGTATACATGTGTTTGTGACACAATTTCATAGTTTTTATTAGTGAAGGAGAATTTATTATAATAAAAAAATTAATATCCCTTAAAAATAAGAAGTTGGAATCCTATGACTATTTCTTTTTCCCAAATTTTATCTTATTTTTCATAGTTTTACACTAGAGCGCTTAGCTTTTTAGAATTTTAATAGGTGCAAAAGTATCGAAGCGGATATCCGCAAATATCACAAAAAAAATCCGGATATTCGATTTTCTGAATATCCGAAAATTTTCGGATCAAAACAAATCACAAAATCAAGTATTCGGTTGAGACGAATCGGATAACAAATATCTCAAATTTTCTGGATATCCGCTTCGTGCCCAGGCCTACTACTAATGGGGTATATAATGGGCATCCATATAACAACAAAATTATTCATAACAGGTTAGATAATGTATGGTTAATATCTTTTACTTAGGCTAGATTTTTGGAAACAAAATATATGGTTAATTTAAGAATTAATGTCGTTTTAAAGAAAATTTCCTTATTAAAGTTATCCAGGATCCGAATACACTTAAACCGGCTCAAAAACCCGACCCATTAGAATTAAAAACCAAAATCACCTCAAAAATGTATATGTAAATGAAAATCAATAACTATAACTAACTTGTAAATTCAATATTTAGTAATGCAACGTAATTATTTATAAATTACTTTTTGGTAATTAAAAATATTGTTTTACAAAGAAATATTATTCACCAGCTCTGGCCAAACTCGCTTGGAAATCTGCGAGAAGCAGATGCACTAACCTCTTTATGAACGTTGAATTGCACTTGAACATCCAAGTCTTATAACACTTTCTCTTCTTCTGCGTTTGTTTTATTGTTTATACTTGACCTTGCAACATTTGTTTTTGAGAATGAATTAGTAAAGTAGGTTTTGCTGCCAGAAATAGATGATCCAAGGCTTGTTTTGAATTTTTCTCGCCAGATATACGTGTATTCCCCTGTTGATGTACTTAAATATTTCTTGTGGTGAATCCTTAAAACTCTCTAATATTTGGTATTTTTGTAGTTTAAGTTATGTACTTGGGAAACAAATTGTAGATCCCCTCAAGTCTTATAGTCGTTTTCCTAAATCAGTGTTACTACAGTTTCCGTCAGTTCACAGATCGTTTGTTCGTAACATATTATCTTATCTTTCGGTTGAATGAATTTATGTGAAATCTGAATGGATTGTATCTACCTCTAGTGAATTACCTCCATCGTACTGTTTTGATAACAATAAATATGGATTGACAAAACAAAAACATTGTAATACTATGATCATCATGTGAATTGTTATAGTTATTTTATTATTTGTCACATTTGGACATTTTTTTACCACTGCAATTTTAGCTAATCTTAACTAACCATTACATAAGATCATTTAGATCAACTTGGCTTCGACTCAAGGTACCTGATTATAGAAACATAACCAGAAAAATGAGAGTTGGTTTATTTGTTCTAGCGTGATGCTACATAACAAAATCATCTTCAAAAAAAACGATGCTAAGTTTACTAATTACAAAAAAATAAATAAAGAGAAGAAAAAGAAAAGTCAATTGTGTACCGCGATAGTTATGGCCTGAACCTGAAGCATTAGAAGCCTTGAATAACAAATTAAAGAAAAAGAAAAACATATAACTACACAACTCAATTTGCAATTAATCGAATCTTTACATTATGAGTTATGCGTAAAAAGATGTAATTAACTATAATTAACTATACTAAAATGTAATTGAAAAGATGTTAAATATCTAGATTTACCAAAAAATCTGAAGTAGAAGCTGGAATGAGATTATGACACGTTTTATCACATGGATATGGACAACCAATTTCTTTCGTTTCTTTTCCTCTCCCAAAATACCAATCTCCGACCGTCTCAGCAATTGACTGAAATCCAAAAACCGGATCCGGTTTAAAACCATTTAAAACCGGATAATTGAAAATGACTGAGAATTAAGTTCCGGTTTATACCTTATTGTTGATTCTTGGTGATGTGGGAGAGAGCCAAGTCTCCTCTAAAGCACTTTGACAATGATCAAAGCATGAATTTATAAACATTCCTCCTCTTGTAGAATTTCTGAAGAAATTCATTAAAGCTCCCAACATATCTTTCCTAAACCCTGCGAAAACAAAACTGGAAACTCGGTTCAGTATATGATTTTTACCCGGTTTTCTCATTTGAACTGAATCAATTTGGATTTGAACCTTGTAGTGCATCGAGCTGGTGTGGATTACATGCTGTCACATTAAGCTTACAACGGTTCCAACGACCGGTTCGATCAGCAGAAGGTGGAACCAATCCATGATGGAACTGATATTGTAAACAAAGCTTAGACTAGACGTTCCAAACCGCCGGTTTAAATAAAATTGAACCGGTGTAATTAACGAAAGCAAACCTGGAATACATCGTAGGCTGAATTTAAGATGAAAAATGGCGTTTTGATAAATCGCAATACGTATTGCGGGAAAAAACACTGCAAAAGAATTTACAAATAACTTTAGAAATTATTAATTTAATTTGTGAAGAAATAGTTAAAAATGTATTGAAAGATTTGAGATTGTACCAGAGATGGTTCGGGAAAAAATGCGTGAGTGCAACTTGGATCGAGGTTTTTTTGTATACCCTGAAAAAATTATTTTCCGAATGTAAGAAAATCATAAATTTGTTGGTAACAATTGATAATTCTAATTGTTGGATATCTCAAGTAATGATACCTGTAGGGACACAAGCTGTGTGTAAAAAGATCTCATTGTCCGGTTTGCTGCTATATCGATTCTGTTAAACCAATATAAACCGTACGTATATGTTGGTGAACCGAAACCAAAGATCAAAACATTTGATTCAAGAGATAACTTACGCGTCAAGAAAGAATCCAGCGTCGCTCATGCACTTAACGCTTGCGTTTTGGGGCAAATAGCTCGTGAAATTGTCACAATGCAAAAATGTAGACAAACCACCAGCTGAACAACCGGTTAGAAGAGCCTGCATGCCGGTTAAATTCATGGAATCGACCGGTTTAAAAACAACAAATTAGTCAAGAAAATTAAACTAGAATCTACTATCTAAAGATTAAAAATTTTTATATTATACTGAACCGATGATTATTAGGAGGGAAAACATTGATTTGGGTTGTGAAACTAAACCGAAACAAAAGAAGAAAATTTACCTTGTGGGCTTTTGCTAAACCTTTTGGGAGAAGGTCAAGAATTATGGCATTCCATATTCGTTGTCCTCTGAAATAAAGCAATGACGTCTGTCATTCATTAAATCAGTAAAAATCAGTAAAAGATAAATCATTAACCAGATCGTTCGGTACGTTTTTCCGGTTATTAAAAGCGGTTCAAGAAGAAGAAAAATTGGTTAAGAGGGAAACGAGTAAGTTTATTTACCCCGTTGCCAAATTGTGAATCTCCCGCAAATGAAGCCCCGTCGCAATACCTCAGCCTCACTTTGTTCCAGTTGTAAAAATCTGATTACAACATATGTTATTTGCGCGGACAAAAAGATTACAAAATATGTTAACAGAAATTTATATTGAAAGAAAATTAGAATAATTGTCAGTCCAAATCCTATGACGTATTATTGTGAATGATGTTCTAATAAAGTCACAGCAAAATTTGACTCAAGACAGACTCAAAACTGGACTTCACATGTCCAGCTGTAAATGACAGTTTTACCCTCAATAAAATAATACCTAAAGACTCTAAGTCGAGGAAGGTAGGATAAATGTGTAAATTTGACATGGGTCGAGGTAGATCGATAGCGTGTGCTCGTTAGGAAGGGGACAAGGACAAAAAAAAAAGAAAGAAAGAAGCAAAGCCACAATAATTAATAAATGGAAAGAGATAGAGCCAAAATTATTATTTCTAACGATTTATTTATTTTATTGGAAAAAATAGCTGAATTTTAACATAAACATTTGAACCATCACGTGAAAGAGAGACCACATCACAAGCAACCATGTTTGATTAATAAATTATTATTGGATAACGACTAGCTATTATTTAATTTTACTCATAATGCATGGATTTGTATTTAAGAAAAGATGAAATATATTAAGATTAAGAATGACCTGGATTTTGAGAGGCGTTATTGCTCAAGACTCCGGTGAAGACGACGGTCTTGCTCATATAACGTGTCGAGCCTCGACGGGTCTTTGCTCTATCAACACATGATGCTATATCATTGCACCATCCTCCTCCCTAGAACCATTTTTTTTACTATTAATTACTTGTAGTAAATATTCAAATAATCTTTGATACTTTATAGATAAATGAGTGGTCGACTGAATAAAAATAAATGTGTTTCTGTGTAGTAGAAAAGAACTATAGAGAGAATGTTATAATTTATAAATGCGCGTCATAAAGTGAAGGCATGAGACACGATCCACCTAGCTCGAGACACGATGGTTCTCTAAAGTTTCTAAAACGGCGCCGTAATTAGTACTAGTTTTTGGTTCTCGAATTAAGTCTTGATTATTGTGTATTCGAGTATTTAAGTGTGTACATTACTAGAAAAAGAAGTACTACCATCTACCAGCTGTCACATTTTAAATTTTAATCACTTGATAGAGTTTCTTAATGATGCATAAGTGTATAATAGTATGAACAGTACTAATTGATTTCAAATCGTTATCAAGATTTATTTTGATTAATATTTCATAGATGATTAATACACAGAGAATATTTATTCTTCCTATAAGGCTAGCTGGATTCAATTACTTTTGCGTACTCATGGTCATGGAGTTGGTATAACAACAGCAATAATTTAACTATGCGCAGTGACCAAAAAAAAAAAAGATAATTCACTTGGCAAATGGTTGGCTGATTATTTTAGTAATCACAACCATTTTAAAGAATAATAATCGTTTTGTGTTTTTAATCATTTTCGAATGAATTAGAGACTTACCAAGCAAAAAAGTTAATTAGAGAGTTAGAGTAAATGTAATAATAATTAATTACCTCAAACTGCAAAAGCCAATTGTTTGATCCAGCACCAAAGCCTCTGTCTAAATGATACGCCGGTAAGCTCCCGTCCAAGCAAACTACAAAAGAAAAATGTTATACTCAACCTTATAAAAAACATAAAAATGTTATATATAAATCCAAAATCTTTATTAAAAATGTGACATATGTAAAATCATATTTTCAACGTAAGAAAATGATAGCCAATAAAGAGTGGTTTATGTTAGATGATGTTGCGTGACATGAGGTTAAAATAGTGAAACAGCGACAAAAATTAATAAACCTATAGAGAAACATCAATCTAACTGAATTTTCAATCTACTATATCAAGAAAATGTTTTATCAGAAAAAAAAAATCTCAAGAAAATAATATAATTCTATTAACCCAAAAAAAAAAAAGGAGGAAGACATACAAGCACCGAGAGCAGCGGCGTCTCGAACCAGAGTCATGCTAACGCTCCGCCCTGGGTCGCCGGAAACGAGCGGCGGAGAGAAAGTCACGTAGATGAGAAGAACCATAGCCGCCGTTAGATCGAGAAGCTGCGTCGTCGTCTTCATTGTTACAGTTTTTGACGCTTCAATGGTGAATGAAGAAGACAGAGCGATGAAAACGGTGTCGTTGAGTTCTATGCCTTTTATTTGTTATCTTGTATCAAAGAAAAAATAATTGATTTGGGGATTTAAGAGGGAAATTGGAAACGTTTATGTATTTATAGATAATAAAGATTTTATAGAAAGTAATTCATTTGGAGAAGAAAGGGAAAGGAGAGGCCAAGTTGGCAAAGAGGTAAGAGATATAGAGAGAGATTTATGATATTGATAGGCACAAAGAAGCTTTTGCCATCTTACAATTTGTTTTCCTTTGTATGAAAAAGATTGATTGTTACTTGTTAAAAATCTCTTATCATCTTTAACAAAATATATATATATATATATAATGAATATATGAATATATAATATGGAGAGACTCACTTATTTTTCATGTGTGTGTGTGTGTAAAGAGAGACATATCTGACCAAAAAAAAATGCTTTTTATGTTGATTTGTTATTGTTTACATTAATTTATTTCTTAGAAAGATAAAGTCCACATGATATTTTCTTCCTTAAGAACTTTAGCTTTAAAAGATTCATTTCCCTCTACATTCAGAATTTCTATTTTCGTTTAGTCAATATTTCCCTGTATCCTACTGTAGTCAACCATTGAAAATTAAGGGGGTGTTATTGGTTTGTGATTTAAATAGAGTTTTGATGACTTTAATAAAATCATAGAAAGTGAATAAGTGAATGATTTAGAAGAATTGTTAGAGAGTTTTCTATAGTCTTGTTGATTAGTTTTTCTATAATCTTGTAGAGTCTCCCAAACAATCTCAATATTTCAGCATACTTTTCATGACTTTATTTTGTAAAGAAAAGTGTTTAAAATCATAAACCAATAACACAATAATTGAATTCATTAACAATCATAGATTGTCATAGATTGTTTTGTTTTAGTTGAATAACACAAAACTTTTAATGACTTTATAAAACTCTTAATCCAATAACACAATATTCATTAAGATTTTAAATGACTTTTTACAAATCACAAACTAATAACACCAAACTTTAATAGAGTTTAACAAAATCTTGATTGAATAACAACAGATTCTACACAACAATTAAAGTCATTAAAACTCTATTTAAATCACAAACCAATAACACCCCCTAATTGTTTCTGGTTTTGTAAGAATTCTCAATCTGTATATATGTATTAAAATCCAAGTTCTGTATTTGTATTAAAAACCAATTTCAGTGACAGTCACATACTCACAAAGACAGTTAGTTCTTCTTATCAGTTTCACACGAGAGTTGAGTTTAGTTAGGTGCAGAATAGACAGAGCATAGGACGTAGATAAGGCCAAAAATATTAAAATGATAAAAAATTAATTCATTTTTGTTTATTAAAAATTATATTATTTTTAGATATATTTCTAAGTATGGAGATGGCTCTTGATGGGTGGGTCACCAGCCGATGGATTAGAATCGAAAATCTACATTCTTAGGTGTCTTTTGGTTTAGGTTCACCGAATCTTCGTATAACAATCAATTATTCAATTGTCTACGACATTTGGTCATCATCTTATAAAAAGAAGGATATAATTTCATTTTTTTACACTTGTTAACTAATCAATTATGTTATATTAATCAACCTAACTACAACTTTGGTATTCATATCAAGAAAGAAAAGTTTGATAGTTAGTTATGGTTGTTATCCTTAGCCAATAGCCATTATGATTTTGGTTTGGTCCTAACGGGTCCTCGTTCACCAAATGCATATGTTTTTTTTTCCGTTGTTTGCCTTTGAAGTGAAGCTATCACAATTTTGAGTCAATATATTGGCTGGCTTTCAAACGTGAATCAATAAAATCAAGAAGAACTTACTATTCGTCACAATCAACATACCAGCTACTTATTTCTTATTGTCCATCATATTCCTAACACAATCTTTCGAGATAATGGTTTATATTAGTTCATCTCGAACTATTGAATTATTAAGTATTACGCAACACACCCATATCGAGTTACCTGAACTTTGGTACTTTATCAAAATTCAAAGACTTTTAATTCAAAATCAATTGAAAGTGAATAACATTAATTCATGCCTCTTATTTCAAATAAGAGATTCATCTCATCTTTTTTTTTTTTTTTTGCTTTCTTTTTGGCATTGTTTTGATGTTGAAACAATGAATGTTTGGATTTTTAATCAATATTAATGTCAAGCAATAGATGTTTGTCATCTTAATCTTTTTCTCTCTTTGTGTTGGTGAAAAAATCAAGGATAAAGAGAGAAAAATACCAGTATAGATTATAGGCAGATTATGAAAATTATAGAAAATGAACAATTTTGAAAAGAAAATGAATAATTTGAATAAAAAGGTTATTTTAATAATTAAAGGAATTATATGGACCGGGGAGGTAATTACTACATATTAAAAACCCTCTTTCACGGTGGCTTCTTCTTCTTTGGTTCATCGGAGAAAATTAGGGTTTATATCGGCGAACGGAAAAAATGGGTACTTCGGTGCAAGTTACTCCTCTCTGCGGAGTTTACAATGAGAATCCTCTCTCCTACTTAGTCTCCATTGATGGTTTCAACTTCCTCATCGACTGTGGTTGGAACGATCTCTTTGACACATCGCTCCTCGAACCTCTCTCCAGGTTTCTCTATCCTTATTATCTCCATTTCCAGAATCACCAATCTAATTTGTTTGGTTTTCGATTCTTCTGGGTTTTCAGGGTTGCTTCTAGTATAGATGCAGTTTTGCTTTCTCATCCAGATACGCTTCATCTTGGTGCTCTTCCTTATGCTATGAAGCAGCTTGGACTCTCTGCTCCTGTTTATGCTACTGAGCCTGTTCATAGATTAGGTCTTCTTACAATGTATGATCAGTTTTTATCCAGAAAGGTGAGATTTTTTCGATTCGTTAACTTCAGGATTGGTTAGTTTTGCACAATTTTCTTCATTGTAACTCTGTGATTTTTATTGTTGCAGCAAGTATCCGACTTTGATTTGTTTACACTGGATGACATTGATTCTGCTTTCCAGAATGTGATCAGATTGACTTACTCTCAAAATTACCATCTTTCTGGTATGTGGTTTTAGTAATTCTCGGTCTTTTATAGCAAACACTTATCTGAAGCAAGTTTCATCTGCATTATCTATGTATCTCATGTCTGGAAAGAGTTCAGTGACACAAATTGAGTATTTGGTTGTTGAACGCATAAGTTATGACTTCAAAGATTGTTAGGATGCCTCAAACGTTTTATCTTTGCCCTGTTAGGAAAGGGAGAGGGTATTGTAATTGCTCCTCATGTTGCTGGACATATGCTGGGAGGTAGCATCTGGAGGATAACAAAGGATGGGGAGGATGTTATATATGCTGTTGACTACAATCATCGGAAAGAAAGGTACACATGTTCAGCTTTCACCTTATTTGGAGTTCGAGTATTGTGCGTAAAAGTAAATAAAGAAGCGGAATCGTGATACTGAATTGTACATCTTAATTCAGGCATTTAAATGGAACTGTTTTACAGTCTTTTGTTCGGCCTGCTGTTCTGATAACCGATGCATATCATGCTCTTTATACCAATCAAACCGCAAGACAGCAAAGGGACAAAGAATTTCTAGGTTGGCTTGTAGCTCAATATGTGTTGTGTATCTTATATGATATTTAAAACCAGCCCGCTTCTAACTGCCAGAAACACGTGTGCATGTGCCCATTTATTAATCAGATACCATTTCAAAACATCTTGAAGTTGGGGGAAATGTTCTATTACCCGTGGATACTGCGGGTCGAGTCCTGGAACTTCTCTTGATACTTGAACAGGTAATAGAATCGCTTTGAATGTATTATGTTCTTAGTTAATGTTCAGCTACTTACTTAAAGACTAGATATTGATCAAACCTGCAGCATTGGTCACAAAGAGGTTTCAGCTTTCCCATTTACTTTCTCACATACGTGTCATCTAGCACAATTGACTATGTTAAGAGTTTCCTCGAGTGGATGAGTGACTCCATTTCAAAGTCCTTTGAGACTTCACGTGATAATGCCTTTCTATTGAGGTAGATTTTCTTATAAGAATGCCTTATTTCGTTTGTATACAATACAGAAAACATCAAATGAAATCTAAACACATGCAGGCATGTCACTCTCTTGATAAACAAGACTGATCTGGATAATGCTCCACCTGGTCCAAAGGTTGGTTTATAAAATTATATGTAACTCATTAATGTTTGTTAGTACATAGAACTTGGTGGATTTTATATTTTAGTTCTTTTCTTTTCAGCTGATAATAGAACTATATTTTCATATTGTATGTTGGAGTGACTGAACCTCATTATATAGGTTGTTCTTGCTTCCATGGCCAGTCTCGAAGCAGGTTTTGCTCGTGAGATATTCGTGGAGTGGGCAAATGATCCCAGAAATTTAGTCCTCTTTACTGAAACAGGGCAGGTATGTTTTTAGAACCCTTATACGTTGAGGAACTAAAATTTATTAGCATTGCTTTCTTTTTAATTGATATATAAGCTAGACAAAAATAAATTTATTCAAATAAACAGTTTAGAAACAAATGGAAGCTTTAGTTAGTTATTTTACGCCCTTCTCAGTTCTGTATGACAATGCTTTCTTATCCATGTCAATCCATCCAGAAAACAGAGCACTACTGAATTATTAAGTTTGTACTACCAATGACACTGTAAAATCCAAGTTAAATTATTGAAGTCCTTCATTCAACTTGTTACCGTAGTCATTGGTCATGTTCCTTAGTCGCGATGGCGATTATACTTTCCATGTGGCCATTCACAGTTTACGTGATCTAAGATTTGCAAGATGTTTCGGTTTGTAATCAATGATATAAAACTAAACTGCTTTTTGTTTGATTTTTTCTTGTCATATGCCTCTATTTGCAGTTTGGCACTTTAGCTCGCATGCTTCAGTCAGCCCCACCTCCCAAATTTGTTAAAGTCACCATGTCTAAGAGGGTCCCTTTGGCTGGGGAAGAGTTGATTGCATATGAAGAAGAGCAAAACAGACTGAAAAGGGAAGAAGCTTTGCGAGCTAGCCTCGTCAAAGAGGAGGAAACAAAAGCTTCCCATGGATCCGATGATAATTCAAGTGAACCTATGGTCATAGATACGAAGACTACTCACGATGGTATTTTTTGTCTTATATTATAAAACATTTTAGTAGCCTTGAATATTATGTGGCCTGTAACTTCGTATTTTCATGTAAACTTCAACTTAAATCAAAGTGTCTAGTACAGAAAATGGCTATGCATATGGTACTCTCTGTAATGTACTGGTAGTTGGTTTTAGGAGGCATTTATGTGGTTATCTTGGAGTGAGGTAGAACATTTAGAAGTCTCACAATATATTTCTGGCTAAATTTGTTTAGTTTTTTCACAGTCCCAAAATAAGTGTCGTTTTCAATCAGACCTCCTGTTACAGTTGTTGATTGCTGTTCTTTCCACTACATAGTGGTCTGCAACTGACCTTTCACATTTCTGACCACACTTGCAGTTGTTGGTTCTCACGGGCCTGCATATAAAGATATATTGATTGATGGATTTGTTCCCCCATCCAGCAGCGTAGCTCCAATGTTCCCATTTTATGATAACACATCTGAATGGGACGACTTCGGGGAGATTATAAATCCAGATGACTACGTGATCAAGGATGAAGACATGGACCGAGGAGCAATGCATGTACGTTACTTATAATTCTGATCTTGGTCTTTATTTAGCTCTTGTTATATTTTCAAACTGAGGATTTCGGATACAGATACGAAATCTTTTGCCAAAAATTGCTTAGGCTCCTGATTTGGTATAAGTGCAATTCTTCAAATGAGTGCTCTAGTTCTAGAGTTGCATCTTTATTTTCTCTTTTACAACTGATTGCTTACTAGTAAAGATTTAGGGTCATTCTATGCAGAGTCTTGTGTTGCTTATCAAATTTGTGATATAAAATTCCATTTCAGAACGGAGGTGATGTGGACGGGAGGCTTGATGAGGCAACTGCTAGTCTCATGCTTGATACAAGACCTTCGAAAGTCATTTCCAATGAGCTCATTGTAAGTAGACTCTAATAGAAACTTCATAAGAGCTCCCTAACCATCTAAAGAGCAAGACATCGGTAGAGATTTTGGTCTCAGCTAATCCTCTCATTTGTTCTCCCTTTCTAGAAACTCTGATTATTGTTATAGACTGCTTATCAATGATAGGCACAAGGAGTAGTCTTCTCACTTAGAAATAGAGAGATAGGAATTCTCATTGACACCGCGTTGTGCCGTCAAATTTATCTTCATCTGATGATATGCATACAAGAAATTAATTAATTGACGTTCAAATTAATTATCACAGGAAACCTTGCTAATCGGATCTTTAGTGCGATAATTCAACTTATAGATAGTTTGTTGTTTGGATTCATCTGTTTAATTTTTCTTCGTTATAGAGCAACTTGTGTGTCCCTACTCTTACCCACTAGATCTTATGCCATGTAGAAGTTTCAGAAGGCTATTCTCAGAATGTAGGCCTTGCCTGATATACAAAACAAGATGGCTCTTTTAATCTTCTGTCTACACCTAACTACTGTCTAATTTCCCTGATAAATGATTTAGTTTGTTCTTATGCTTTTGCACAGGTGACTGTTAGTTGTTCACTTGTTAAAATGGACTATGAAGGTCGGTCAGATGGCCGCTCAATCAAGTCTATGATTGCGCATGTTTCTCCTCTTAAACTTGTACGTTGCAATTTCTTTTCTCTCTCGTCTTATATCTATATATAGTGTTAAGCACTGAACTGTAAACTTGTGGTGATCTAATACTATATCTCATCTGAAGGTTTTGGTGCACGCAATAGCTGAGGCTACAGAGCATTTGAAGCAACACTGCTTGAACAACATCTGTCCACACGTGTACGCTCCTCAAATAGAGGAAACCGTGGACGTGACTTCTGATTTATGTGCATACAAGGTAGAAATCTCAAACTTATTAGGAAGATCCTTTCAACGGATGGGTTTTGAGTTATGATTGATTAACTTTGTATTAATACATCAGGTCCAACTTTCTGAAAAGCTGATGAGCAATGTGATCTTCAAGAAGGTACCTTTTATTTCCGTTTTTTTTTTTTTTTTTTCCAGAGTCGGATCCAATGTCTGAATAATGAATGATGAAATAATATCAGCTGGGAGATTCAGAAGTAGCTTGGGTGGATTCTGAAGTAGGGAAGACAGAGAGCGACATGAGGTCTCTACTACCGATGTCAGGCGCTGCTTCTCCACACAAACCTGTTCTAGTGGGTGATCTGAAAATCGCAGACTTCAAGCAGTTTCTGTCAAGCAAGGGTGTTCAGGTAGAATTTGCAGGTGGAGGAGCTTTACGTTGTGGTGAATATGTCACTCTACGAAAGGTTGGCCCGACTGGTCAAAAGGTAATTCAAAGCAAAACTACTGCATTTCTTACAAATCTTTTTACAAAAGCGTTAAGCAAATAAAAGAATGACTTAGGGGGTGTTATTCATTCATGGAGTTAAAGTCAATTCTTAAAGGTTTAGATATGATTTCTGATCTCTGCAGTATATCTTGGATTATGATTCTAATAATTTACTCATGAAATCCAAAGATGTTTCATTTCAAATGATTTGATATACAAAGATTTTACAAGTCTTTTAGTTTTGAATAACACTGGATTTTAATGAAGCATTTTAAATCTTAGTTGAATAACACCAAACTTTAAAATCTATTAGAGTTAGATTTAGAATCATTAGGTTAATAACACTGGATTAGTGTTGGATTTCAATTCTATTAAAATCCATCATTGAATAACACCACCTTATATTTGTTGGGGGTTGTTCAGGGAGGAGCATCAGGTCCACAGCAAATTCTGATAGAAGGACCGTTGTGTGAAGACTATTATAAAATCAGGGATTATCTCTATTCTCAGTTCTACCTCCTCTGAGCATATGATATAGAAAAAAACGAAGCTTCTTCTCATTTTTTCTCAACACATTTCAACCACTCAACATGTAATCTCGTATAGTTATTGCCTTGCTTTTAACCCCAATCTTATAGATTAATGTGTTAAAAAAGGCAATAGATGTTTGTAATCTTTTTTGTCTTTTGTCATCTTAGTAGAAGAAAACTGAGAAATAATATAACTATGGTTATTACCAAAAGCTTAAGGTGTCATTGGGATATAGACCACTCCTATTTCGGTAAAACGGTAAACTAAAACAGTAAAACGGGATAAAAGCAAAACGATAACTCTTCGTGTTCGTTTTATGTGTTTGAAATTAAAGCGAAAACCCTTTCTAATCAAGAGATCTAAGTTTCAACACCTGGACGTGGCTTTAGCTTTTGTTTACTTGTAAAACCATTTGTGTTAAACATGGAAGAAAGATAAAAGAAAACAATTTCAAAGTTATTAGGTGGTTAGGTGCATGTGGTGTGTTTGTGTGAGGCTCATCAGTCATCACTGTCCAACCAACAACACACAATATTTTGATACTAATTACTCTAATTCCAAATTCTAAACCCTAATCCTTCTTCTTCTTCTACCGATTCTCTCCACATCTTCTTATCCTCCCTACAAACAAACCATGGCTTCTGCGACCGCCACGTGGACACCTTCCTCCCTCCAGCTCCGTCTCGTTTTAAGCTCCGGCGTTCGCCGGAATTCACGCGCCGTTTACTTACGACCATCGCGATTAGCTAGGAATTCCGGTTATGGAATTGTCTGTGTTTCGCAGAAGCCTGGAGTTGATGCGTGGACTGGATCGGATTCGTCAAAGTCGTCGGCTGATAATTTGGCTGGGTGGGATGATTCCGATAACGATGATAAGAAGTCTTCTAGAGCTAAGAAGAAGAGTTTGATTGAAGGTATATACAGATTAACAATCGTTTTTTTTTTTTTTTGGAAGTGAGATTCGGAGTTTTCGAGGTTACGTAAGAATTCGTTAAATTCAGCTGGTGAAATGTTTGATTACACATTGAAAATGCTTGTACAGTGAAGCTAAGACTACAAGTATAATTGTAGGAGCCATGAGTGTATTGTTCTTATGGAGATGTACTCATAATCTTTAGATTGAGTTGATGAAAATGTCACTTGTTGTTGAGAGGTTGTTTAACCAGTGCACATTCTCTGTTACGATGGAGCTTGGTTTAAGACTCTTTACCATTTTGATTTCTCTGTTCTGAAGCTGTTTAGTTTACCGGTTTTCTGGTGGACTAATAACAATCTGGAACTAGTTTGCTTTCAGGTGTAGTTGGTGCTGGAGTCGCTGGAATCATTTTGTTTCTTGGTCTAAGCTATGCAGCAGCATCTTTTAGCAAGCGTAATACTCCTTCTCTTAAAAGCTATTCAAGCTCGTTCTAGTGCTTCTTTCAGAATTGTTTGTACTGATTAGGGGAATCATCTTTTGAGCGCAGGAACAAAAAAACAGGAAATGCATTCGTTGACTTCTCAGCAGGAAAGCATGGTTCAGTTATCTGACGAAACTTCTAGTGATGAGATTAAGGTAGCTAACAGTGAGGAAAACAATCTTAAGGACGAGGATAAGAGTATAGAAAGCAATGATGTAGCTCAGAAAAGTGATGAAGGGTCTGGTGAAGATAAATTACTTGGTACCAAAACGTTGTCAGTTGATGGTGTCATGCTTGATGAAGCGGATGCCACTGAAAGTATCCCCCAGAATACGCCTGAAGCAGATTTGATAATCAGTGTGGAAACTGATCCTGAGACAGCAGAAAGTGAGAAAATAATTTCTGAATCTAAGTCTCTGTTAGACTCATCCACTGAGCCTATTCTTCTAGATGCAGAAAGTAGTAATCTTGTGGGCGTGGAAAATACAAATTCTGAAGATCCAGGGAGTCTCCCGAACACTGAACCAACCAATGTGTCTGATTTAGAAAATCGTGTTAACAGTCAGAAGGAAGATTCCCTGTCTTCTTTATCTGACATCGATGCTTTTGCAGCCTCCGGGACTGTAACTGAGGAGCTTCCTGAGGTTTCTTCACAATCAGATTCGACCTCGAGTCCTCAAATTGTGCCACTAAATGACACGGAAACAGCATTCTCGACTGGTGAAGATCTTTCTGAGGTTAACGGAACGCCGGAGTACTTGGCCGCAGGAAGTATGTCATCAATATCGGACATAGATACAACCAAAGAAACTGAATCTTCAAATTCTCCTGAGCCAGAATCAATAGATGGGTCAAAAGATGAACTAAACATATATAGTCAAGATAAGCTTGACGACAACGGAACGCTTTTGGAAATACCGAGTGGTGGAAGTGCATTTTCTTCTGCAGGAATTCCTGCACCTTTTATGTCTGTTATAGTTAATCCTGGAAAGATTCTTGTCCCCGCAGCTGTGGATCAGGTTCAGTGTCAAGCATTTGCAGCTCTACAAGTTCTGAAGGTAATATTTTTTTTTTTTGTTGTATAGACCCTCACTATGTATACCATCGCACTTGTGATTTGTTCTGGCACTTGTATATCTTGCAGCTTAATGTTCAGTTTGTTCCATCTTTCAGGTCATTGAAACTGACATCCAACCTAGTGATCTATGTACTCGCAGAGAATATGCCAGGTGGTTGGTTTCTGCCAGCAGCGCTTTATCAAGGTATACCTTCATGAATTTGTTAGTGTCTCTGGTGGAGTTAAAATGTCTTTCGTTGATATTAGAAAGTGCAATTCATACATTGATGTGTGTGTTTTTTAACTCTTTGCAGAAACACAACCTCAAAAGTGTATCCTGCTATGTATATAGAGAATGTTACGGAGCTTGCTTTCGATGATATTACTCCCGAAGACCCTGATTTTTCATCCATTCAAGGTTAAAGTGAACTCTGAATTTTGATTCTACCCTAGAAGAAGATAACATATGAAGCTAAATTCTGTTTACACTTTTCAGGGTTGGCAGAAGCAGGACTTATCGCGAGCAAGCTTTCTAACCGTGATTTGCTTGACGATGTTAAGGGCACATTCTTATTTTCCCCTGAAAGGTATTTATGTTTCTGAAACTCATCGAACTTGTCCAAAAGAAATTCTGCATTTGTATGCCGCATCGACAGAAACATATAAATAATCTTATACTGGTACGATTGCCTTAATTTCTCTTTTAAGACATCAGTGCGATTTTCGATAGTCTCATGAAACGAAACGGCATAAAATCATTATTCTTTCTATTTTTAGAATATCATGAATTTTGTACTTTGACAATGCCTTTGCGTTTATTACTTTAATTATTTTCTACAAATTAAGCTTGTTTCATGTCCTACGTAGCCTTCTTTCACGCCAGGATCTTATAAGCTGGAAAATGGCCTTGGAGAAACGACAGCTTCCAGAAGCTGATAAAAAGGTTGCATATCAAGCTTGGTTTTGTTCACTTCTCATAATATTGCAGATAATCATTAATTCCCATCATCATGCAGATGCTGTATAAACTCTCGGGTTTCATTGACATCGATAAGATAAACCCAGATGCATGGCCAGCCATCATCGCAGATTTATCGACTGGGGAACAAGGAATTGCTGCCCTTGCATTTGGTATGCGCAGATTTTACATCTAGATATGTCTTCTTGCACAATCATTACCTTATGTATAATGCACACGCGACTTTTAGGTTGTACAAGATTGTTTCAGCCTCATAAACCGGTCACTAAAGGGCAAGCTGCCATTGCTCTTTCAAGTGGTGAGGCATCTGACATTGTCAGTGAGGAATTGGCACGTATCGAAGCCGAATCCATGGCTGAAAAAGCTGTGTCTGCGCATAACGCCCTCGTTGCAGAGGTCGAAAAGGATGTCAATGCCAGCTTTGAGAAGGAGCTCTCCATGGAACGAGAAAAGATTGAAGCAGTCGAGAAAATGGCGGAACTGGCGAAAGTGGAGTTGGAGCAGCTGAGGGAGAAGAGAGAGGAAGAGAATCTGGCATTGGTGAAAGAACGAGCTGCGGTTGAGTCAGAAATGGAGGTGCTCTCACGGTTAAGACGTGATGCAGAAGAGAAGCTGGAGGATTTGATGAGTAACAAGGCAGAGATATCCTTTGAGAAAGAGAGGGCTCTCAACCTTCGAAAAGAGGCTGAAGAAGAGAGCCAGCGGATTTCAAAGTTGCAGTATGAATTGGAAGTTGAACGAAAAGCCTTGTCCATGGCCAGGTACTTTTTCTACAGTCCGAGCTACATTAGGTTTATAATGTCAAAGAATCTATCTGCATTCTGATTTCTAATTAGTGAATGTAAGCCTTTCAATCTGTCCATAACCGTATTACGACCTATCATATGTTGTTTGTACAGATCGTGGGCCGAGGAGGAAGCTAAGAGAGCTAGAGAACAAGGAAAAGCCTTAGAAGATGCTAGGAAGCGGTGGGAAACAAATGGACTGAGAGTTGTTGTTGACAAAGACTTTCAAGAGACGATCAGCGGAGAGACAGAACAAAGCATATTACTAAACGATGTGGAGAGATCCTCAGTTGAAGAAACCGAGGAGAGAGCTAAAACCCTGATGGATAAGCTTAAGGAGATGGCTGGAACCGTGATTGGAAAATCCCGGGAAGTGATCTTCCTTGTGATGGAAAAAATACGTTTATGGATTACAATTTTGAAGGAATATGCAGTGAATTTAGGGAAGCGAGCCGGGGAAATGAGAGATGCGGCCATTGTTAAGGCGAAAGTAGCCGCGACAGAGGTTGAGAAAGGGACAGTTCAGCTGAGCGATAAGGTGAAGAAAATGGTTGACGAGTGTAGAGATGGAGTTGGGAAGATCTCTCAGAGGTTCAAAACCTAAAGTAACAGTCTTTTAACTTTTTGTATCTTGTTTCTAAATGATAAAAATAAAAGAGAATAATGGGATGGCCATTACATTTACAGTATTGGTCAGTGTTGATCAGAATTCATAATTGTATCATTTTGTAATCTTTGTTATGTGGTTACTAATACTTACACTTCAGTGAGATATGTTATAATTGCCTTGGTACCTCATATGCGCATCCAATGTTCAAAAAATGGTTAGGCGGTATCTAGGCGTTTAATAGGAGTCTAGCGCCTAGATCGATTAATCGGGGACTAGGCGCTAGCACATTATTTACTTATTTTTAAAATATTTTTCATAATTTTATAACAAAACATTAGTTATAAAATATGAAATGTCAAAAACATTACCTATTCACAGTGTGTTTAGTCCCAATAACTAAATACATTGAGAATAGTGAATTCATAATTTAGAATTTCAATAATCAAGTATTTTTTATTTTTATTTTTCTTAATTTTATTTTTATTTATTCAAAACGATATCATATTGATGCATTCAATGAAGTAAAGGACTTGAATAATGTTTTTAACATTTCATAAAATTAAGACTCAACTATTAGACTCTAGTTATATACTGACTTATTGACGACTAGACATTCAAGAGAATCTAGAACATGCCAGTTGTTAAATGGTACATAGCTACATACCAGATGTCTCGCAATGAAATAGGTTTTCACGCCCACCAACTCTATAGTGCAACTTTGGTTCGCAATACCATATGTTTTATTCTAGTTTATTTTTATTGAGTAAATTTAGAAAAATACCTTTTTTTGTTTACACTTTTAAAAGATACCCATTCTTTATTTTTCTTTTAATTTTTTTTTAAATACGTAAAATTATTAAAATATCATACATAAACTTAATAACAATTAATCAAAATATCTATATTTTAAATACAAATCAATTTATTGGTACTAACTAAATTATTTTTACAAAGCTTTTTTTTATATAACTAACAATTACAAATATTTATTATCCTAATTTTTTTTAAAAGACAATAGTGAATACCACCATTCTACCGATGTTAATTTATGATTTTTGTTAAGTCATGTGTTATTATTATGGTGCACATTTTGATGATTGATTATTATTGAAAACACATAAATATTTTACTTTGCAAAAAAAAATTCAAAAAGAATCATTGAATTGAAGTAAAGTTTGGTGATATGTTGAGTTGAAAAATGTGTTGGGAGTGTTAGAGATTATTTTAGTTTATATAACATGAAAAATATTAAGCGATAGACTTTATAATATTTTTAGATATTTTCTTGTTAAATTTTAATATACAAGATTAATAAATCATCTTAAAATATATATATATATATATATATAACTATTATTAATATTATTTCGAATTTAGTTTATTTTGTTTCTCTAAATTTTGAATTTAGTTTTGATTTACTGAAAATATATCTTTAAATTTAAATTAATACACAATTGTTATTTTACATATAAAAGATTGTAGTTTTTACTAAAAATAAAAATAAAAAGGAGTATTTTTCAAAGTATCATACATGTCTCCTCCTCCGATCCTCCTGCTCTTGCTGCAAGGATATATTGGTCTCCTCCTCTTCTTGCTGCAAGGACATACCGGTCTCCTCCTCCAACTCTTACCACCCACCACTCTACGTCTTAGGTGAGTGAAGCACTGATGCACTAAGTAAAACACTGATGCCACTCACCACTCCTCATCAGGTACAACACTGCCACCAGCTGACGCCAATCACCCATGCCTCTAACTTTCAGTTTCAGGTGAACACTAAAAACGGTTTTGGCTTTCACTTCGGTTTTGTTTATCAAATACTTTCTCACACAAAGTATTTATTGTGGGTGCAGAATGAAAACAGAGACCGAGAAGAAGGTCTGTGCCTCGCCATATCTTTAATTTACCAATGATTAAGTTTGTTTTTGATGATCCTAGTTGTTGTTTTGTTTTTCAGTCAATAAAGTCATGCTTGACAAAAAGAAAAAGAAATTGCATGATAAAGAGAAAATGATTTATTAAAATCGGAGTAAGCACCATTGAGTTATATAGAGAAGATGAAAGAGGTACTAGAAGCAATTAAGCAACATCTACATACCAACATCCGAGACTGATTTTTACTAATTGAAAAAAAATATGGCCCAAGAGAGGCCATCAGTCCTAGTTGACGATACTGCTGAAAAATCCTCCCATGTCACTAATTTATCTCTGGGTTTGTTTTTCTCAATCTCCATTTGTTTCTCTGGCATCAATCTTTTCCCACCCACTAATGTATGGTAGATGGAGAAGTTACACAGATATAATTAATGTTTTCTGGCGATCATTTTTCGAAGCAATCCACATGAATAGTATGCCCACATTTCAGCACCTAAGCGGCTTTTACTGAATCCAAGTAGAGAAATTCATTAAAAAAAGTAAAAAGAATCAATATAAAGCCACCTAGATTTAATATTGCCATTTAGACAAACCTCACAACAGATAGGACAATCAGTCTTTGTGGAGTTCTGAAAGCAAGTGTGATTACCGAACAAGCTCATTGCATAACAAGCTCCTACAATATTCACATGTGAATTTTATGACAACAATAATAGGAGATAACTAAAAAAAGTTTTAATAATATTTAATCTACATAAGATTAGTTAAGAGAAAAAAAAAATTGCAACTATTAGACTCTAATTATATAGTAACTTCTTGACGACTAGACATTCAAGAGAATCTAGCACATGCAAATTGTTAAAAGGTACATAGCTACATATCACAGGTCTCGCAATTCATATGTTTTATTCTAGTTTATTTTTATTGAACTTTATGCATCAAACTTCTTTTTATTTTTTGTGAAAAACATGGAATACCGGGGAAAAAACGAAACCAACTGCTATAGTACTTAGCTAGTGCAATGTTATAGTACTTAGCTAGTGCAATGTTACAGTTTCCAGTGCAATATGTTATAGTTTACAGTGTACTCATTGGTACTATTCACTATTTCTACAAATAAACAATCTGAGAAAATTTAAGTCTGATTTTTCTAATGTTACAAACTTTTGAATTTAATTAGGCTTATCAAACAATATAATGACTACGAAGTTTATACTTGGAACCGTAGTTGTAATATAAGATTCAAGTATATAGAAACTCGTTATAATTTCTTCCATAAACTCAGAAAACCCAAGTACCAGAAAAATTTCGAGATCTAAGCATTGATAAACCGCAACAAAAAAAAAAAAGAAAACAGAGTCTTGCACAAAAATCCGGAAGAAGAAGAATTCAAGAATGATTAAGCTCTAAAGCAACGATTTTTACTTCTTCTCTTCTTTCTCAGCCTCGGCGGCCCTCTTAGCTCTGGCACCAGCATGACGTGCGTTTGTGCGCTCCAAACGAATCTTATCATAGGCCTTGAACGCCTTCATATCTGCAGTCAGCTTCACAAGCTCCATGGCTGCCTTCTCACTAGCAATAGGCATGTAATCACCTTGGACTTGGGTAGCATTAGCAAGCTCCTCTGGAGTAGAATCACCAGCCTAAAAACAAAAGATACAAGAACTCAAGAATCAAGAGGGTAACTCAAAGGTACTTCTCTATCTGCGATCTCAAACGGATGATACCTTGACTTTACGGGAACGGCGAGGGAACACAACCAACTTAGCCTTGTAAGTCTTTAACCTTTGAACATTGGATTGAAGACCCTCCAAAGAACGATTCTTGCGACGGTGATCAACCGAAATTCCGATTGTTGGAGCCAACTTCTTTGGGATACCAGCAGCCTAATCAAACCCAAAAACAGCAAGCAACTGTAAGCTTTCATCATTATTATATCTATAAAACAGAGAACAGTTTCAAGATTGAAAAATTACAGAATCCAAACCTTAAGCTCTTCAAGAGTGAATCCTTTTCCAGCTCTAACTTTCATGTTGTACTTAAGAGTCTGACCATGAACAACAGGTCGGAGAGGACCAGAGGTGGGACGAGGGAAGATCTTCACCGCCTTCTTCTGTCTAGCTGAGAAATCACATCACACAAAGGGAGAGACTTTATTACATAACTAAAAACGTAAGTAAGCAAATGATTAAGTAGAAAGATTAAGAGAGAGTTAACTAACCAACACGTCTCCTCGTTTTCCTGGCAGGTTGGTTAAACCAAGTCTTGACATAATTCTGCCAATGCTTGCGAAAGTGTGAGCTCGGGATAACGTTGTTGTGCTTCATTTTCCTAAGAAACAAAACACAAAAAATACAACATGAGAACAAGTCTTAAACTACACAAAGATTCCAATCCTAATCATGTTTAACAATTAGGAGAATTTAACATTACACAGACTACATCAAACGAGCAAATGGGTTTTAATAAACACATTACAAGTGATACAGATTAGACTAATCTAAATTAATAAAGCAATGATCAACCAAAAACAATTTGCAGAATCAAATGCTTTACAATTTCCTAAGAAATGAACCAAAAAAAAAACTCTAGATTAAACTTAATCAACACACCAAAGCTTCAATTGAACGATCCAATGGAAAAAGTTAAATCCTGAGATTATACGATGACGCAAATTTGTTAGACACCTAACACTGACTATACGAAGAGAGACGAGGAAAGCTCAGAGAGATCGATAGAGAGAGAAGGTGACTCACTGCGGCTGAGCGAAAAAATTCTAGGGCTTCTCTCCAAGAGGTTGATCTCAAGATAAATGATATATAACGAAGCTCTCTGTTGATCAAAAAAAAAAAATAAACGAAGCCCTAATTGTTGACAAAGGATATTGGGCTTTTTGTATAAATGGGCCTTGTCTCAATTAAATGGAGACGAAGCGAATTTGACCCGATAAAGTTTTCTACTACCTTAGGATGGATATTCTTTCGTTTGCCCAAAAAAAAATAAGTAGCAATACACCCAAAAGAATATAGTAGCAAAAAAAAAAGAAAAAAAGGGAATGGTAGTAGCAAAATGTAACAAAGCCATTTTTTTTTTTTTTTTTTTTTGGCCATTGAAATCTAGGCCAAGAAACTCTTGAAACCTGCCACAGAATACATGGTGCTTCCTAAAACGAGTCACACCTACAAGAAAGGGAGAATACACAAGAGCACATTAAGGTTGGAATTACTACAACAAAGCCAACTTAGGCAAGTACTAGTTGTAATTTTAATTAGGCTTAATGAGAACACCGGAAAATGTAACTGTCATTGGTTGACTTGACTTATGGTTGCGAAAAAAGTAAACCTTCTCCATGACCGACGTGCGATGTTCTAAATTAGAAATCAAGAAAAGTAATTAGTGTGAAGCCACACATTAGTGTGCTAGTGGGATTATAGATGAATACCCAAAATAGTTTGGAATCAACATATAACTAATATAAAATTAAGGTGAGTTTGTTAACTAATTTTTATAATCAAATGAACAAAAATATGTTTATTTCCCAAATAAGAATCGGTAAAAGAGAATCTTTCTTTCCTGGAATGCCCATTTTAGTATGCACCCATTAGGCCACGATCCATATGTATAAAAACTTTTTAAATACATTGTTGCGAGCAAAGACTTGGTAGAATAATTCTATAAAAAACCTTAACTTGCAAACATACACTAATATTTTAACATCAAGACATTACAAAAAAAAAAAAAAAATCTTATATATATAAAGAAAACATAAAGACAAGTATCAGTTATCAGCTTGCACGAATAATAGCCATGTCTCGTGTCCTCCTTTTGTTCATCTTTTCTTTGTCGGTTTTGGTTGGATCAATCAATGGTAACGATCTTATTACATCAAACCCATTTTCTTTCATACTCAACAGTTGATATACAAAATATAAATGCCAAGAAATATAAAATTTTAATATAACAAGAAAATTTTCAGGACGATCATGTGGATCATCGACGCCCACTTCAGAGGATATGTACCAAAAACAGATGGAAAGAGCCGACGAATCAGCAGATCGAATGGGAAGGATTGGTTTGGAGTGTGAACCCCAAGGGTACACAGGTGGTTCAGGCAACACGAACTACTCTGTTGGTGCTACCATTCTCGGGTTCTTCATTCTTTTCTTTATTTTTGGTGCCCCCATTGTGATCTGTCTCGCCTGTATCCGGAGGCAAAAGGCTATAAACGCAGCCAATCTCAATAATGTTTCTAGTTAGTAATATGTAAATAAGAAATTAATAATTTGTGATGGTAACGATTTGGAATTTAAGTTTATAATGATAATTTTTATTATAGGTCAAGTGGTGGGAGCTCATGTGGCTCATGGAACTGATCTCAAGTCATATCCGGGAACCAACACCGTCCAAAAGGGAGATCCCAATTACCAAGTTTGATCCATCACAAGTATGGATAAACGACATTTTTCGTTTATCATGCTAATTGTGTGTTTACATGCTACATAATTTTTTTTTGGTTTGGTTGAATTTTATCTCGTCAGTCTATTTTGTTTGCATTGTTTTCTATATAAGAATAAATTGGAGGTTTTTTTTTTTTAATTTTGGTCTCAAAATTAATCAACCAAAAAAACTACAAACCCCCATGGAGAAAACAATGCGTTTAATCACTTCAAGGCGATATCAAATTATCAACCATGATAAAAAGAAACAAATTTTCAATTCACACGAAGCAACAAAGATATATACATTCTTAGGTTAACTCAAAACTTGGAAGAAAGACAATTCTACTACAAGCTAATTAACTATTACAATATGGAAGTCACTGATTGGCGAAAAAAAAAAAATTCACTGATTTTATTCATGAGCTATATATGTCTTAGTTATAAGGTAAGGGTAAGAGAAATAAACTAGGAGTGATTTGTCCAAAAAAAAAAAAAAAACTAATGAGTGATTACGAATACTATACTCAATAATAAAAAAAAACTAGTTAGTTAAAGATATAAAATAAAAATACTATTTTGGCTTACCTTATAACTAGTTTATTTTTATTTTATATCTCTATCTTTTCTTGTTACTTTGTCACCGGATCCATAAACTACGAAAAGAGACGAGAGAACATAGTTAATAGAAAGAAAGGGAGACTCTTTGTCCAAAACAAAAAAAAAAAAAAAAAAAAAAGGAAGAAAGGGAGACTCACGATTAATAGCTGAAACAGAGGAATACATCCACCACAACTCAAAAGTCAATACCTTTTTCCATCATCTTCAAGAACATTGACCGTAAAATTCATAAGACCACATCTGAAGCGATTTCGAAACCTTTTGCTTCTATGGATTTGATGAGTATGTTTTGATTTTAACTCAAATGATATTGTAATCTTGTTTTTATTTATTTTTACCAAAATTACTATAAATTGTAGATAAGTTCTCTCATCTAGAGAAGTGATCTCTTAAGAAAAGTGATCTCTATTTTTCATTTTATATGATATTAACATTCATAAATTACACAAAAAAAAAAAGATTTTAATGTTACACACTTTACATTGATATCAAAATCTCTAACTGCATAAGAAGAGCGTTTCTTACTATTGGGCTTCAAAATAGAGATGGGCCAATTTCAATTAGGCCCGAGAAACTTTATCCTCCCTCCAAAACGACACTGTTTTAAATGTAAGCTTCTTAGATACGCCTAGGTAGGGACACGTTCCGAAGGAGCCAGACTTGGAGAATTTGAAATTTTTAACTTAACGGCTCTCACTCACTTTCATTTCTCTCTCTTTATCTCCCAAACCTTAAGAGAAAGGAAACAAAAATCTTCAAATTCAAACGTTTTTTTTTCCCTTTTCTAGAGAGATTCCCTGTGGTTCTATTCGATTCGATCGGTGAGAAGATCTAGGGTTAAGTTATGGAGACTAAAATGAAGAGCCATGGCCGGAAAGTGGTCCGGGTGGTGGCTAGGGTCAAGCCATCGACGGATCTGGTATCAACGAGATCAATATCGGTTCACAAGCCGATGGGTGAAGATTCAGAGACTGTTTCGATTTCGTTTGGAGCTCAATTCGCTGGGTAATTTCTCTTCATTCCTCTCTGATTCTATTGTTGGCTTCTGTTTAGTTAATTAAAATTCGCGAAAAGGGTTTGCATCTGGAGATTTCGACTACAATTTAACTCTTTTCTTCGATTACTTTGTCTAGGTGTCTTGTTTTGTTGTTGGGAATCCATGCAAATGGTTTAATTTGATCTAAAATTTGAGTTTTCTTATGGAGATTTGACATTATTAGACGCGATAGTTACTGATGGGAACATGAATTTTACAATAAAATGTTTCACAAAGAATGTACTTTTGAGTTAAATCTTTCTCAGTCTGTTGTGGATTAGCAACGTTTCAAGCCATATTAACTAGTGTGTTGTGGCAGTTCGAAAGATTCATATAAATTGGACTATTGCTATGAAGAAAATGAAACCACTGGTTCAATTCTCACAAAGGAGATAAAGCCTCTTATCTCTACTGTCTTTGAGGGTAAAGATGCGAATGTCATAGCCCAAGGAGCTAGAAATGGCGGAAAAACACATCTAATACAGGTATTTATAGCAATCCTTTCAAGGTATTGATTATTAGATTATTACTATAGATGAAAAATGATGTATCACATGGTTTGTAGGGAAATGAGAGGGAGCTTGGTTTAACTGTTCTTACAATGTCTGAGATGCTATCCATGGCTGAGGAAAGAGGAGACTCAGTTTCTGTATCAGTTTACGAGGTTTCTCAAGAAACCGTGTATGACCTGTTAGGCCAAGAGAAGCGAGTGGTTGCTGTACTGGAAGGTGCACAAGGGAAAATTCAACTAAAGGGACTTTCTCAGGCAAGTTATTTAGCGTTCTTGAGCATTAAGTCGTGGGACATCATGCGTATTTTGCAGCATCGTTAATATTTCAATGTTTCTGCTTTCAGGTACCTGTGAAGTCGCTCTCAGAATTCCAGAACTTATATTATGGTCTCAAGAAATCCCAGAAGCTGACCAGTGACCCTCCAGTTAGGAGTCATAAAGGTGTGATGATACACGTTACCACTGGCAACGCCAATCCAGGCTCCCTTGGGAGGATGAACTTTCTTGATATGGCAGGTTGAGTATTCTAATATCACATTTTAATTGTCTTGTCTGTGTAATGATATTATATGTCAGCATGTGATGGGTGTTCTCTTTCTCTGACAGGATATGAGGATTCCAGGAAACAAAAAAGTGCTCTAGCTCCTCTAGAGATTGCCAGAATTAATAAGTCGATATATGCTTTACAGAATGTCATGTATGCTCTCAACACAAATGAATCCCATGTGCCATATCGGGAGAGCAAACTCACTCGAATGCTGAAAGATTGTTTTAAAGGATGCAACAGAACGCTGCTGATCACATGTTTGGTATACATTTCTTGCTGTTGAGTTTGTTTTAAGTTTATGATTCACTGAATGTAACTGCAGGCGATGCTATAACCCTTTTGTTTTTCGTTTCAGCCCCGGAAATTTAGCCAAGACTCCTTTTACATGCTAAACTTAGCATCACGGATCTGTCTAGGCAGTAACCGAGCCATGAATAATCCTACTAAGAAGAAGATCAACGGTCCTGAAAGATCTATTTCATTATCATCTGCCGCTCAAAGGAGACAGACACCTTTGAATGTGTCTGCTACTTCTAGAAAACAGACAATGCTAAGGGGAAGTGTGACAGAGAGAAAGACTAAAATCAACACTGCTGCTTCTGCAATTAAAGCAAGGTAAATCATTCAGAACCAGCTTGCTATCAACTCTAACCCTCAATATCCATGCTATACCTGTATCTTCTCTGTTGTTCAGTTTTATAACATCAAATAATGATGATTTTTTTCTCAATGTTTGAAGGAAACTGTTTGGTGAAGCAAACGATTCGGTGAAATGTAAAAATAGCTCTAAGAAGGTAATTCATCTTTCGTTCTTATCCTCATGAATTCAGAAATAGTTTAGTTAGACTTGTTTTGGATTTTGTAGATGGAAGGCAAAGCAAGAATGGCTCTGAAAAATGTAAAGCATCTTCATTCTAATTTCTGAATATTTGAGTAATGTTCTTCAATACCTTTTCTCACCTTGAATGGCATTTGTGTTTATTTTGATGCAGGTAATCTCCACTTCAAAGGTTGTCTCGAGCATTCAGGCCTCTTCACCTAAAGAAGTAAATCCTTGCGAGCATGAACTAAATGAAGCTGCATGGTTATTTATTACTAAGGCATTACTTACAAAGTCTAATGTTCTATAATGTAGGAAATCTGTTCGTCATTTACTGTTACAGATTCTCAATCTTCTTTGGTAGAAGAGGTAATATTTTATATCAACGTTAATGAAAATCATCAAGACATTACTTACATTCAGTGGTTTTTCTTTTCAGGAATATTCTCTGGCTTTCTCAAGTTATGCAGTAGCCATGGAACCGGTAAATTTTCCATCTGCAACTTCTCTGTATCTCAAGCAGATGCCAATACATTTTAAAGAATCTGTTTCCTTTGTTTTGTTTCAGCTTGCTCAGCATATCTAATATTGCTTCTTGTCATTTATAGGGCTATTCAACTAGTGCATCTTTAAGCTCAGAAGCTGTTGACATTACAGAAAAGGTAATTTGTATAGCTTTATGTTTTGTTTCAACATCTGGATATCAATAGTACTGACAGTTCTTCCATTAACATTCAGGAGACACCCTGGAAACATAAGGAAATTTTTTCAGGAGCCACTCATTGTGATGATGCTTTTACAGAGAAAGGTGAGATTGGAAAGTTGGTAAAAAAGGGTCTGGTTTAAAGGAAAGGTTAACTTTGATCTTATTTGTTTTTTTTTTGGTTCTTGTATGGCAGCACAAATAGTAAAGAGAGATGAAAACAATTCAGTCATTGACGATCTGGCTCTGGTTATTAATAAAGGTAGGTTGTGAGTCTTGTCACATTAATCTAAGAAAGTAATATAATGAAACCTTTTGCTCAATTTATGGTCTTTCTCTTTATGGTAGGTGAAAACCTGGACAAAGAGAACAACAGTTTGCTAGCCAATGAAACTGCATCACCACCGCTTAGCATGCGACTTCAAGAACTATCAAACAATTTGAAGTCGATATGCAAAATCTCAAACCAACTATCAGTACCTGAGAAATATCAAAGTCCCTTAACTATATTACAGGCGGAAGAAGCATCAGAGCACAGCGATATTACTGCTGAAGCTGCTGTCAGTGGAGAACTAAGAACACCGGAGAGAACTATGCCTTCGAACATTGGCTGCAGTCCTTGGAAGGCATATAGCGCACACAGCTCTAAATTGAAGGTAAAAAAGTTAACAAGTTTGATTAAAATTGACTTTTCATTACAAGTACCATAAACTTCTGAGACAGTGAGTAGTACCTTAACTGTGGTTCAAAATGTCGAAGATTGACATAGTACTTTTCTTGTTTTCCGGAAATGTTGCAGAACTCTGCTGTTGGAGAATACCTCAAGTTCATAAACACAGCTGGAAAGTAAGTTGTTTTCTTTCTCGTGAACACAAAATATACATAAATCAACTGTCTTTCCAATCCTTCATATAATGTTTCCGGGAGTAACTCAGTTGAAGTTACATGGTTTTTGGGTCATTAGTATTAACATTTTAGAAAATCCTGTCTATATTGGTGTGATAAGAAAGTGAAACTAAATTTGGCTTTTCTCTTCTCTCGTTGTGTTTACAGGGAAGATCTAAAGAAGTTAAAGGTGAGATGACTAGCTTGATCAAATTTTTTTTTTTTTATAATTTAAATGCTTGTTTATAGTTTAGTACTTAACTTGTTTATGGCCTCCATTGATGAATGACAGGGTATCGGCGACAAGAGAGCAGCGTACATAGTTGAGCTCCGTGAAGAATCTCCATTTAAAACGGTAAGTGCCATAAAGTTTTACAAACGAGAAGTTGCATCTCTGTCACGATATATTCATTAGCAAATATGACTTTAAATAGCAAGCCTTAAGTTATATAGTTTTTCAATGTGAAGTTCAATGTTCTTTTGGTTTATATGTAAGCTTTTCGTATAGCAATGTGAAGTAATATTGAACATGTCTTCAAATTTAGTTTTTCAATGTGAAGTTCAATGTTCTTTTGGTTTGTATGTAAGCTTCTTGTATTTTCTATTGCAGGTTGATGATTTGAAAAGTATCGGACTCTCAGCAAAACAGGTTAGCTTATCTCCCTTAAAACAAGAAACTAACAAAATATCATTTCATAATTACACAAACTCTGTTTAATTGTATCTTTCTTAAATCTCTCAGAGAGTTTGTGTAATGATTGGACTTTTGCATTGACAGGTTAAGGGATTGCTGAAAAAAGAAATCGGGGAGATTTTCGAGTAGTCCAAGGATATTCTCACTACGGTCACAACAAATAGATCTGAAGATATTTATGAAGGTTTCGAGGCAACACGACATTGCTTCTAAGATTTCGAAGGTCTATATAGGAAGCTAAGTTGTTGAATGTGTAATTCGTGTTATTACGAGATCTTAATTTGTGGTTTCAATACTTTCAATTGAATTTGTGTCGTACTGTCTAAAGATTTGGGTTATTTCAAAGGCAATGTGAAGTAGTATCAAATTTCTTTTTCATACGTCAGTATCTTTAGAAATCTCAATTCATGACATTTTGTGAAATGGATGTGAACAACTTTTTCATTCGAATGCTTAGTGGGGAATAAACTTTCAATGTATGCCTCACTCTCACCCACTGGGTTAAAACGCATTTTCACAAACCATTTTACTCTAATAGATATTCAACTTTATTCAACAAAAGCAAAATTTGTTTTTCATAATCTTGTAGCATTAGACGATTATTTGTTTTTCTTTCGACGAGATATCTTGTTTTGTAAAATAAAAAAAAAAAGTTATAACGTTAATAATCCATTAGACACAAAACTTTTTACCCGATCTAGACATAAGACACAAAGCACTAAACGAACAACTCAATATTTTTATTCTAAATGAGACAAATACACATATCATTCAATCATCTTTGTTATCACCGGAGAAGTAAATCTCACAAGACCGAGGAAGAAACACAGGCAACAAGAGACCAAACAGATTATAAAACCACATCACCGTGTTAACCGATGCAATCACTCTTCCTCCGTATAATCTCACCGGACCACCGGGACGTTGAGTATCGGAGAATTCTGCTTTAACCCAATCCAAAAGAGCGAAAATGCGACGAGCGTTGTAGAAGACTGGTCCAAGAATACCTATTGGTGTAGAAAACTTGTCGGAGAAACCAATAGGTTCTGTGAAAGCTTGACCTGAGAGGAGGAATAGATGTGGTGCGGCCGCTCCAGCACCGTGAATGTCTCCCCGGTATATTCCATCTCCGATGTAACAAATAGGGAAAAGTAGGCCTGAGGAAGATTTTGATTATTTTTATAAGTTAAAAGAAAACATTTACAAAAAAAAAACAGATGAGAAAAGTTTAGTAAAACCTATAATTGCAGTGGCGAGGAAGTAAGCTTGAAAGAGTTTGTTTTTAGGGTTTGAGAGTCTCTTCTTCTGCTCTGTTTGCTTGCGAGGGAAGGCAAATCTTGAGAGAAACTCATACAAGTAGATATAACACAAGATTACAAACGCTATTTCTCCGATTCCGACGAGTCCTTTTGCGGCTAGTAAAATCATAAAGGAGAGAAACACCAATTGTCTTTTGCGGCTGATGAGACCGCGTTTTGGTGGTGTTTGCGGTGGAGAAGGTTTAGAGTCGGTGAGATCATGTTCTCGTGTTTCTTCCGACATTGAAAAAGTTTCTAGAGTTTCAAGAGTTGTTTAGAAGCTTTGAAAGTTGAATAAGAAATTGAGAGATCTTTTTGGTTTGGTGAGGTAAGAAAAGAGTGTAGATATGGAGTGGTTAACCTTCTCTGTCTTCTTATCTATTTCTGGGCCTTACAATTATTATTATTATTCTTTATACAATAAATGAGAAAAAAAAAATTTGAAGAGATAAGTTGTTGTGATGTGTCGAATATGACAAGTGTTTTACTTGAAATCTCATGTTTTGATAGATTTTGTGACCACACAAAAATGGTTAAGAAAACAAATTAGAAGACTAATTAGAGACAAATACTAAACACATCCTTAATTGCCCAAATCACCAAATTTTAGTAGACAGTGACAGCCTGACATTCACAATATCTTAAGTGTTCTCATTTGTTGTTTTTATTCCCTAAAATAACAAAAAGGTCACATTATACATTCTTTGAGGTTGGTACTCTTTCTTCACAATGCTTTCTAATTTACTAGAACGTTATCTCCAGTGAAGATAGAGTTCAACTCAGGCAACACATCTTGGTGCTTCTCCACAAAGAGCTTCAAAAACTTCAGCTTAGGACTCGTCAATACAGACGAGATCGCAGGGATTTCATCGATCAGCCCTTTAGACAAAAGAGCTTTGATTACATTACACCGCGGTAAAACAAACTTCTCCAAGCTGAATCCAAGTACAATGGGGGTTGAAGCTACAACCTTTAAAGGCCAACCCATTGTCTTCACAAGAAACTCGGTCTTCTTCTTCACCGAATCCGCAGCTAATCCAATACACTGAGGATGCCGCTTGATGATCATCACAAACTCGTCTTTTGTGAATCCTAACTCAAGAAAAGTTTCAACTGACTTCACTATCTTCTCCTCTGAAGTCCCTACACATTCAGGGTACCTCTTAACCATTAAGCATACCTCTTCTTCCCTTAGACCAACCCGTTTCAAAGTCTCAAACGTCTGAATTATCTTCTTCTCCGAGTATTTCAAAGAGAAAGGCCATTTTTTGAAAACTACCCAAACTTCATCCAAAGAAAGTCCTAACCTCTTATAAGCATTCACTTTCTCCTCTATAGTCTTATCACTAAGATCATAGAAAACATACAAAGCACTGACAAACTTTGGACTTTTTGGATCAAAACCCATCTCAACAATCTTCTTAACCGATTCTTCAAATCTTTCTTTCCCACAAACTGGTTTAGCTCTAGATATCAACAAGTTCAACAACAGTCTCTGAGGCACTCCTAATTCTCTCAAAACCGATACATTTCGATTTCGATTCGTCTGCTTTCTCTTGGAAGAAGAACTCGTATCTTGATCTTGCAAGATCTCTTTGACATAATCATAGTAATGAATAATCCATTTCCCTCCTCTCTTCCCCAAGATTTTAGGAACTTTCGAAACAATCTCAGTAAGCTCAGAGCTTGAAGCTCCATTTAGCTTCAAGAAATGAAGCTTAGCACGAAGAGACTTCTCAGGACTCTCAACAAGAAATCGTGGGTAAGTAGCAATGATACTTGAGATTTGACAATCTTTGAATCCATAGCTTCTTAGAAGTTTCAAGACTGAATCTGGATTACCTTTTTCATCGAAATTAGCTTTCATTGAGATTGATTCAGCGAGTTTTGTAGTTAACCCTAATGAATCAATAAGGTAAGAGACTGTGAAAGTCTTCCTCTTTCTTTCATCTTCAAAACTTAGATCTTTAGCGGTAGCAACAACAGAAGAGAACGATTCAGTGAAAGTAGAGCCGTTTTGGAGAAGAAGATTCATTACTCGATTCTGCCATTGATGTAACTCGCGTGACCTTCTTCCACCTTGGAGTATCAATGAATACATGAGAAGAGAGTTATGGAGAGAGGAGGGAGAGTGGAAGGATCAATCTGAAAATGCCTCTGTTTTAACGGAGATGGTGAAGATAAGGAACGGCGGCAGAAAAAGAGAGTTTTGATTTAGGGTTTAGGAAAATCATTTAAAAAAAACAAAAGAAACATCATCAATTTTTAAGTTAGCACACACACTTTATTTACTGCAAGAAAAGCGGTGCGGAATAATGTATAGATTGTGAAAAAACGATATGTGGTACGGGTATCATAGTTATTAAACTTTAATTAATCATTTTGAATAATTATAGTTTCCAGAATTTTTTTTTTCTTTTCAAAAATGTGTTATTGGATAAAACTTATTTATACAAAAAAATTCAGATTTTTTTAAATCAAAACAAAATTAAAAAGAAAATACTAGACCTTAACCACACTAACCACACCAAAATGGAGAGACATCCATACTTGCTTATTTTTAATTTTTTTATATTTTCTGTTTTTTTAATTAAAAGTTTTACTACCTGTTAGAATTTGGTTGAATAATGACACTTTTAGTAACCACACTCTTCTGTCTACTAAACGCGTCTCTCATTCATAACCTAAAGTTGTGTACTAGGTACTAACACCAATTTGGTTCTGATTTCAGTTTTATTTGAGAAGAAACATAATCAGATATAACTAAATCTTACACGAGTGGTTTAGCTTTAGCAATCACCATTGAAGGATAGCCTAAAGTTGTGTACTAAGTACTAACACCAATTTGGTCTGATTTTAGTTTTATTTGAGAAGAAACATAATCAGATATAACTAAATCTTACACGAGTGGTTTAGCTTTAGCAATCACCATTGAAGGCTAATCTTTCATTTCCACCTTTAGAGATAAGCAAATTAAATCAAATAATCCCTGAGGCACTCCCAAAATTTAATACTAAAAAAAAAAAAAAAATAATACTAGCAAATTAAAAGAAGTTGTTATGTTACACCTTTCACTTAAAGATATTTGATAACAATTACATTTTTAACTAATTTTTCATTTTTATTGCCAAACAGTACATGAAAATTTAAACAACAAAACCACAAAAAAAACCATGGTCCAAATACTACAAATTCCAAACCAAACACACTACATAATCATACAAATCCTTACCACACACGCCAGCATTCTGCTGATTATTATAACCACCACAAGAGCAATTATTACCATACTTAAAAACCCATAAGGTTTTTTTTCTCCTCAATAAAATTAATTAGCTAATTAACCAAAATCTATAGTTTGATTAATTAACTAATTAACCTTAAACTAAACAAACACTCAAACAAACCCGTTTCCATTGCCATTAACATGGCCATTAGTGAGCTTCTTTCCATCATCTTCTTCTTCCTCCTCACTAAGTAAAAACTCTTTGCTCTTCTCAAGCTTCTCCATCACAGAAGCTTCAAGAGTTATCTCCACATCAATACTAATCCCTCCAGCTTTACCTTGGTACAAATACATCATCCCATTAAACCGGTTATTCGACCCGCTCCTCACAATTTCCGGTTTACCCCAACCGAATTCCACCTCGTAAACCTGAAACCTCGGCGAGCTTCCCACCGCAACACAATTCACTCCGGCGTCTTTGAACTGAAATATCTTCGGTGATTTCTCCCACTCGTCGTTACGCGCGTCTATCGCACGCGCATCGTGTGCTGCGATCGCTTTCTGGATCACCGAAGCTCCGAATTCCGGTCCGTGCGCCGCTAGTAGCCCCGCCGCGGTTCCTGTGAAGATCGCCTGAATTAAGTTTCCGAAATATTCCTCCGGCATTGGAGGGTCAACGCGACGGCGGCAATCGGCGAAGACGGTGAAGATCGTTATGTCCTCCGGTTTGAGTCCACGCGCTAAGGTGACGTGGCGCCAGATGTGTGATGTTAGTGATTGGAAAGTGGAGAATGGTTTTGAACCGTCGGATGGGATTACTGAATTGGCTCTTGACTTGATCGTGTGGACAGCAGAGTCCGAGAACCTGAAGATCCTCTCAACAAGCTGCGGCGGTTCCGCCGTTGGATTGGCGGCGTCTTCGCCGTTGGAGGTCTCGTTGGGGTCCTTAGGAGTAGTGAGGTCGAGCTTCACGCGCGTGTCACGCGCCTTCGATCGGTCAAGGAATGGTTGGGTCGAGATAGATTGGGCTCCACGGCAGATCTCGGCCCATGAGCTCATGAAATGCCACGTGGAAGTCCCGTCTAAAACTGCGTGATTGAAAGCAAGGCCCATTGCAAGCCCATCTCTTAGCTTGGTCACCTGTTGCGAAACGAAAAATGTTCGTTAATATTTTGTGAAGAAGACGTTGATTTTTTACTTTTATTTCTTTTATATTTATGTTTATTAAGACTTATGAAATTTTGATTTTTTATTTATTTTAAATTCTTTTAAAGTTTAATTAAAATTTTGATTTTTGATTTATTATATAAAATCGAATTTTGTTAATTGTTAGGAGTGTTTGATTGGACGATAGTTTCGAGACAAACATAAACAATGACTCCTCCAACGACTACACCTGTTTTTTAAAGCCATTACATTCAATGCACATTAATGCCGTTGAGAATTTAATTGAGCATCCAACGAAAATGAAAGTATTGTATAATGAATGAAGTTACGTATGTATATTATACACACGTTTTTATACGTATGAATACAAATATACGAGGTATGTATATATACATAGATTCATGTGCTTAAGGTATTTTATTTTTGAACAACTAGTTAGGTGAAAGTGTTTATCCCCACAATCTAAAAATTACACGACGTTGTTATTTTCTTGTACAATATTTCTATAGTTATAGTCAACGTGGGTCGATGATAAAGGAAAATGAATATATGAAACATTGAAACTCATATGATTTAGACATTTAGTTGGAGATAAAGCTGACATTCATAGTTATTAAGGATTTGATCTATAATGACAAATAAATTCTCCAATGTGTACTAATGTTAACTACTTAACTTAGTACTAATTTAATCAATTTACTTATTTTATACATGGCGTTTGTATCCATAACATGTTATTGGTCAGTCATTGAATGTAGTATTTATCGTTGTATCAGTTTTTTTTTCTTTTACAAAAAAGTTACAATCAACAAAATCAGCAGTAAAAGCATTTGAAAACCGAATTTCTCAAATCATGGACTCCAATTACTGTATAAACTAATGCACATACACATATTATATATATATATATATATATATATATATAATATGTGTGTGTGTTAGTGTGTATTCATAAGCATAAAATATGCTTGTCAAACTTCTAAAAGCTAATATAAAATTCAAGAGTGTTTTTGATATATGCATGCTAAGCTGAATTTCTGTTACCATTTAAGTCGTGTAGAGTGTTTTTATTAGTTAATAGTTAATACGTAAGTACAATACAGTGGTTAGAGGCTTATTAGAGCTAATAGATGTCAATATTTTCATACTAATACTTAAATTTTGTTTTGATGAAAATTAAAGTCAACATTTTCTGAAGTACGTGCAATGCCTTCCTTTTCTTGCTGGAAAGATATGCTTGTACTTTATATACTGATTTATGCGTTATTTTATTATTTTTGTAATTAATTTTGTTTTTCTTTATAGCTAATAGAGTTTTGGATGTTACGTGATGTTTGCCTCCAAATGGTAATATTTATTGACGAGTAGTTCAATAGATATTTATTACATAACATGCATCAAGATTCAGTAAACATAACCACATAGATATGATTACATAATCAGATATTTGTGTGGATAATTCAGATGCCGAAAATCAGTAGTACTAGTTATCTAGTTATGTTTTCTTTCGTCACTTCGATTGAATATCTAATTCTTTATTATTTTACGTGAAGATAAACAAGTTGGACGACAAAGATACTGACATGCATGGAACTATGGAAGTAGTGTCATATATAAAATATATAAACATTAAAAGAAGACAAAAAGTTATACCTGGACAGCAAGTAGAGGTCTGTTAAGTCCTTCCAAGTTCAAGATCCCATTGTAAGGAACCAACTCCTTGAACTTAGCCGTCCCGTCCTCAGCCGTTAGATCATCGACGGTAACGTCAGCAGCATGAGCAACCGAGAACTCTACGCCGTTGATCTCTGCGTCGTCGGCGTCGTACTCAACACGGAAGACTCCTTCGTCGTCCTTGGCAAGCTTACCGGCGAGCTGATAGAAGTCTTCAAGAACCAAACCCAAACCATCTTTGAGCTTCTCCACGACGTCGTTTTGGAATGTGGGTTCCTCAAGATCTAGAAGGTTCTGGAACTTGTAGAGCAGAAACTTCTGGTTGTAGTAGAAAGCAAGGTAAGGAAGATCAAATGTGGTGAGCTGGAATTGTTTCTTCCCTAGTACTAGTTTTGTTGGTTTCACATGTGTTTTGCTCATTATCTTTATCTTCATGGTGAAAGAGATTTTAAGTGGCCTTGGATCAATGTGTTTTTGTGATGATCACAAGAAGATATTGATTGGCAATGTTTTTTATTTTTATTTTGGTGTGAGACTAGAGTGTAGTGTGGAGTGGTGAAGAAAGAACTAAAGGCTGTGTTTTATAGAGATGTGCAGTGTGTAGTTGGGTTAGGCATTTAAGGTTTCATGGAAGTAGTTGTGATTCAATTAATGACTCAATTAAACTCTTCTTCTGTAAATTTATTTGCATGAATTGTTAAGTTACGTTAAGTTTTATAGTTTAATGTTGAGAATTGAGATACGAAAATAAATATTGTAATGATGCTACATTTGTAGGACACTATAAATGCCGATAAAGATGGTAACAAAGCTCAAAGCCTCAAACCAAAGCAAATTGTATAATCTTGGATCCTACCTAGATTTAAAAAGATCCTATACTTTTAATTATGTGCATGAACTTTACCTTTTTTTTATAATTTCTGAAGACATATGTTTTCATTCCAATAGTTTTTAATATATTTTTAGAGAAAACTTTATTTTAGAGAATTCTTTTTTTTTTTGGAAATATATATATATCAACGTTGTGTAAATAAATGGGTGATTTTGTTTTTTTTTTTTTTTTTTTTTTTTTTTTTTTTTTTTTTTTTTATCATCCGAAATTAATTAAAGCTCAAAAGAGCTATTCTTGAGGAATGTTATTTACATAAGTGATATGAAGCGGTTCTGTACGAACTTTTCGTGCCAGATTATCCGCCTTAACATTAGCCCTACGAGAAATTAAAGATAAAGAAAAAGATGAAAACTCCTCCTTGTTGCTCTGAAATTCCTCCAAATACACTGAAAACGCCGGCCATTCGGTTGGAGAAGACACCATCTTCACCAGGTCTAAACAGTCTGTAAGGAACGCTACCTCTTGATTATCTGCACCAATCATACACTTCATCGCCCAGAGAAGGGCCTCGAATTCGGCATGTAGTGGAGATAGACTTCTACGGAGGTTCGCAGCTCCCATGGTTGGCGGCTCTCCATTTGACGATGTACAGTTGCAGCCTGTACCGGAGAACTTATCACTTTCTTTCCATGATCCATCTACAAAACAACGGTATCCCGAATACTCCGCCTCAAGTGAAACATCCCTCACTCGAATTCGATCTACCAAGTGCACAGAACCATGATTTTCATTATGGAGCTCAATTTGAGCGGACTGCCACAATTGTGCCTCTTTTTCCGCTAATCGTAATACTTCTAAAGGGTCTGTGTCTATGTTTTCAAAGATCTTTTCGTTCCTCGCTTTCCAAATAAACCAAATAATCCATGGGAAGGCTGATGAATCAACTTCCGTAGGTATTCTCCAAAATAAGTGATCCAAATTAGTAAAATTAGATTCCGTAGGAAAAATCCCCATAGCCGTAGGAATCTGTGAAAGCGCCCAAATCTGCCGTGCCGGGTGGCACTGAAAGAGTGTATGATTGATCGTTTCCTCTGATGCGCCACATCTGGCACATCCAGTGTCACAATCAATTCCTCTTTTCCGTAAATTTTCCGTAACCGGTACACATCCCGTTAAGATTTGCCATATGAAATGGCGTATCTTAGGTGGACACTGCACTTGCCAAGAATATGCTTTTAACGGGTTGATGTTAGGGCCAAAAAAGTTTAAATTGGTCTCCGACGTTTCCATCCGTGTAGAATGATATCCCGATTTGACTGTATATTTTCCGGATTTTGTAAAATGCCAACCTAAAAAATCTTCTTTTGTTGGCGCACCCACAGGTATGGCGCTTATTAGAGCGACATCTTCTGGATTAAAGATCTCTCTTAAGAGATCAATATTCCAAAAATTTGACCGACTATCTATAAGGTCTTTAACTTTTAAAGATGGGTCAGCAACTGAACCATTACTTTTTGCTGGTCTCGGGAATTGAGCTGGAATCCAGGGATCCTCCCACACCGAGATGGATGTCCCAGATCCGACTCTTTAATAAGTCCTTTATTAACCAGAGATCTAGCTGAACATATACTCCGCCATCCATACGATGGGGAATATGATTTTATATTTTCCAAAGGATTGGATTTCCTAAAATACCGTCCTTTAAACACTTTTGTGAATAGAGAATCTGGAACCGTAATCAACCGCCATAATTGTTTTGCTAGTAAAGCTGAATTAAAATCGTCCACATTCCGAAATCCTATCCCCCCTTCCGATTTGCTATTGCACAATTTGTTCCAAGCCATCCAGTGCATACCTCTGGAGTCACCATTTGAGCTCCACCAGAAATTTGCTACCGCGCTAGTAAGTTTAGAAGTGATTGTTTTCGGTAGTCTGAAGCACGACATAACATAAGTTGGTAATGCTGCAGCTACCGATTTAATCATCACTTCTTTTCCCCATTTTGATAAAAATTTGGCCGACCATCCGTTAATCCTTGTTAGTCTATCTCTAACAAAAGAGAAATTTTTTGTCTTGGAGCCCCCTAAACTCTCCGGCAATCCGAGATAAGAACCCATACCACCGATATTAGTGATACCTAAGGTAGATTTGATTTCTTCCTTGATATCATCATCTACCTTGTGTCCAAACTGAATCGAGGATTTTAAATAATTAATCTGTTGTCCCGAGACCTCTTCATACTTCTTTAAAATCTCTAAAATTACCCCGCATTGGTCCTTGTTAGCCTTGCAAAAAAATAAACTATCATCCGCAAATAACAGATGTGAAACCGAAGGGCTTGCATTTGCCACTTTGATGCCCATAATTAATTTTTTCCGTTCAGCTTTCCGAATATTTGCAATGAGCACTTCTGTGCAAAGGATGAATAAATAAGGTGAGAGCGGGTCTCGTCGTAAACCCCTCTCTGGTACTATTAGTCCTCTAGGTTGTCCATTAAGGAGAACTCTATATTGGACCATTGTAATACACCACATTATCCATTTAATCCATTTTTCACAGAAGCCCAACTTCCTTAAGACCTTCTCGATGAAAATCCATTCCACCCTATCATAAGCCTTGCTCATATCCGTTTTAATAGCCATAAATTTGCCTTTACAAGATGGGTTAGTTCTCAACCCATGGAACATCTCTTGTGCAATGAGAATATTATCCGAAATCAAACGTCCTTCTACAAAAGCCGATTGTGTTTCCGAAATCAGTTTTGGTAGCACCGTCTTGAGTCTTTGGCAAAGGATCTTCGATATAATTTTATACCCAACATTGCAAAGACTAATAGGCCGTAATTCCGTCATCCGTGTTGGTCTTTCCGTTTTTGGAATTAGGCAAATATTAGTCGTATTTAGCCGTTTATCAAAAATTTCATCCTCTAAAAAAGAGTTAACCAGACAAAAAAGATCTGTTTTAATAGTAACCCAAGCCTTCTGGAAAAATAAAGCAGTCATACCATCAGGTCCAGGCGCTTTTTCCGGGTGCATCATAAACAGAGCCGTTCTCACCTCACATTCCGTTGCGGGTGCCGTTAGAAAATTATTAAAACGGTTGATCCTATCGGTTGATCCTATCGGTTGGTTACAAAAATTTAAAAACGGTTGATCCTATCGGTTGTAGCGGCGGTTTAGCACTTTATTACAATAATGATTTTAATGTTTCAATTATTTATGAAAGTAATCGTTTAATTGATGTTGAGGCGGTGGTAAAAGGAAAAACAATACATCTTACTTTTGTTTACGGTGATCTGGTTCCAAAGAATAGAGATCAAGTTTGGGAACGGTTAACACGAATCGGTTTGGTTAGAGACACACCTTGGTTCTTAATAGGAGACTTTAATGAATTAACCGGAAATCACGAGAAAATATGTGGTAATTTAAGAAATGCATCTTCTTTTATCCCTTTTAATTTAATGATCCAGAATTGCGGTCATTTGGACTTTCCATATATCGGAGATTGGTTATCATGGCGGGGTTGGCGGGATAAGAAACCAATTCGGTGTCGTTTGGATAGAGCTTTAGCAAACGAAGATTGGCATGAATTATTCTGCAATTTGTTTGTTGAATATTTACCAATGGTAGCTTCCGACCATTCACCGGTGGTAGCTACGCTTATGGATAAGGTTCCACGTGGAAAAAGAAATTTTAGGTTTGATGAAAGATGGATTGGGAAGGAAGGATTACTCGAGGCAATTTCAAATGGTTGGAATTCTGACTCTGCGTTAGGAGAGGGAAATTTTGTGGAAAAATTGAAGAATTGTAGGCGGGCTATCTCGCAATGGAGGAAAGATTTATCTCCCTATGGGCGGCAAACAATTGAGGAACTAAAATCGGAATTACTTGTGGCACAGAGAGATGATAGGAGACCAAGGGAGGAGATTACAGAATTAACCTTGCGTTTGAAAGAGGCTTATCGAGATGAGGAATTGTATTGGCATCAGAAAAGTAGGTGTTGTTGGATGCAATTAGGGGATAATAATTCAAAGTATTTTCATGCACTAACAAAACAAAGATGGGCTAGGAATCGAATAACGGGGTTACATGATGAAAACGGGGTTTGGTCGGTAGAGGAAAAAGATGTTCAAAATATAGCGGTGTCATATTTTAAGGATCTGTTTACTACAACTAATCCTGAGGTTTTTAATGGGTGATTTTGTTAATGAAACAAAATTAATGTTTCAATTTCTGAAATAATAATTAAGAATTTATAATGGATTAGACGAAGTTGTTGGGTTTTCTTTTTTACCTACACTCTCTAATCTCTATATATATTTTATACATGGAAAACAAAACTTTATTGGATTTCAAGGACTCTACTTCCCATATTTAGTTAGTGGGTAAGTGGAACTGTGGAGGTTGTTGGACAGCGACTTCTGCAGCTAATTAATAAAATCTTATGGTTTCTACGTACTGATTGTATATAAACCGCCCAAATCAAGAATGCGTAGCTTTAAAAAATCAATAACAGCCAACTAAAAAAATCAAATAAAGAAAACAATGATAACAATTAACAAGTGTGACCTGTTTTTTTTTTGTTTTAATTAAATTTTTGGTTTTATAAGTGTGACGTGTTGTGTGTATTACAAATATGAAATATGATGTCTACCAATAGCGCAAGGAGTGTAGTAGTCGACACTCGACCGTAACATTGTAAAGTTATCACTCGACCAAGGAATCAATTAGTAGTCGACAATC